CCCATGTCATAAAATTATTATGAATATTAGTATTATTAGCTAAAATTACAGTATATAAAATATTGATTTATCCAAAAATATAAAATACGACCGATCCGCGGTCTAGTTGGTTAGAGACTTCTCAGTTTTTGGCCAAATCGGCCTAACTATAAACACTTTTTGCAAGATAAAAAAGACCTTCTTTGTTCTGGATCGGTTCTATTTTTTTTGTAAACATGTTTTTGTATTTCTTAACTCGCAACTTCGCGACACTACTCTACCCCTTGTTACTTTGTGTATTTTAAATTTAGCTCACATAATAAGGTATAATATTTAATAAATTTTCCCACGGTTAAACATATTTGTAGCTTTAATAACTCTGAACTACTTTTTACTTAAAAAAAGTAGGTAGATTTTTTACTTAAATAATAGGAAGGCAAAAATTGTGTTTTTGTTGTTAATTGGCATATATTTTGATGTAAAGTGTTAAACCAATTAAACGCTAGCAAAAAACAATTATATGGACAAAGGAGATACCAAATATTTTGCGCGACATTTGTTAAAGATTCATCTTCTAAATAAGCGTGAAAATTTTTAATGATTATAGATGATTAATTTTGTAAAAGTTAAAAAATATTTTATTTTTTTTTGTTAAAAAATTTAAAAAACTTTATTATCTAAATCTAGCTGCACTTAAAAAAGGGGGGGGGGTCTTTTTTTAAGAGTTTTTTAATCTTTTGCCATATGCGGGAGTTCCAATAAAACTTAAAATTTACTCAGTTTAAAAATTTAAATAATTCAAATTGAGGACTTTTTAGTTTTTTCGATTTTTTTACAAAATTGTTCCAAGACTTAATGAGTAAAAACTCGTAAAAACATACGATTTTTTAAAGCCTTGAACAGGCAATTAATGTTTTACACCATTTTGTACATTTTTTAAAACCTCTGTCTTCGTGGAGATGACTTGTAAAATCCTTGTCCCCGCGATGAGGAGCGGACAGTAGACGGAAGCAAATTAAAAATGTAAACAATCAAAGTTTTAAAATATCTTTATTAAATATAAAGCAAATTTTTTTAAAACCATATAAAGTGCGTCTTTATAATACTCTCCCCAAATTACACTTAAACAAGTGCTTTAAATCAATAGCTCTTTTACTTGTCGTGCAACCTTATAGTATTGTTTAGACGTTCCCAAGACGTTTTTACGTTTTTTCTCAGATTTACTTTACTATTTTCTATTTAACTACATTTAATTTACGAAATTGAAAACAAATTTGAAAAAATTTCGATTAATTTGCTTTGTAACTTAAAGCAGCTTTTTATTTATAAATAATTTTGTTAAAAACTGCTGAATTTACTTTTTTGTAATTTTAGTAAAGTTTAAATAAAGCTATAATATCATATTAACCGTTATTTAGAAGTTAAAGTTTTTAGAAGAGAGAACTAAGTTTCGCATTTAAAGGGCCACAAAACGTCATCTAAAATCATTGGCGTTTTGTTCCAAAAATCAGGCAACTCGACGTTCATTTTTTTCACAAACACTGAGCAGGTCGATCGCGAGATTTCCTGGAAAGCGCGATTTAGGACTTTGCTGAAGATTTTATATTGACGTGATCTTTCTATATAAAAAGTTTGAAGTCAATCAGGGCGGGCATGTCAGGTACTTTGCTTGTAAGTTTTAAATTATTTCGCTACTATGAAAACTCTTGAATAACACTGATGACAACGTTTTAGAACATAAATATTCTATTTATGAATTTTTAAAAGTAAGTTTAAAGCATTAATATTAACAGTGTGAAAGTCTCATCTATCAAAATTATTCGTATAAGCTCTTTCGAAAAAGCTTAAAAATAAACGTAAAACTGTTTTAAATTTTGTTATTTTTTGACTGTAATTCTTATTAAAAATGATATGATAAGAAGAGTTTTTTTTGAAACTGTCGTATAAACCAAGGGAGTTAGGCTAGCACAAATGATTTTTTTCTACTAATGAAAATTGAAGATCACCATTTTAAAAAATCGTTTTTTTATGTATATCTTCTCAGCGCACAGTAACTTTATCAAACGATTATTTATATATTTTTTACTTTTTTGTTATTAAGAGTACTTTGCGGGGACTTATGTGTTCGCAGATTTCATTGTAATCCAATAGACTTTTAACAATGAAAAGAAAATATGTTTGCTATCTTTTTATTGTGTTTTACATGTGAATATTACACGTCTTGACTATTTTTAACTGTTAAACGTCTGCTTACATATAAACTTAGGGGTACTTAAAAATTATGTGACTCTTACCTTTTAGTTAAAAAATATTTCAATTTTTGTTTAGTTGTCTTAAAGGTTTGTTCTCATTCTTTGCCTTTTCATGCTCTCAGCACCGTGCAACTAAGATTTGTTAAGTGAATTTTTAAACAAAAACGCCTCCAGGTTCTCTTTGACTTGGTACGTCAGTATCCTCTGTTAATTATAAAAGTTGCTAACTTTTTTCAACATGTTAGTCAACATAGAAATACATCTTTTTAACGTTATGATTAAATGCCCCATTTGTTTTAATTTATTTTTTATTTTTAAAAATTCAAATTGGAAAACCGTGTATTACAACATAATATAATTTTATTTCTTTCTTTACGGCAACATAAATTTTTTATTTTTTCTGAATAATAGAAAGATACATACATTTTTAACTTTGAAACTGTCGTATAAACCAGTAATTGTTGTTTAAGTTTTTGTTTATAAATCGTTTATCTGTTGAATAGACTTTGTTGTCAATTAATAAGACACGTTTCATAAGACAATGATTCTTCAAATATCTTTACCTTCCACTTAGTAGTATACTTTAAAGACGTAAGGTGTACACCTATTATCGAAATAACATAATTTAAGAAAAGTGCAGATTAGTACGTTTTTAGTTTTTAACAAGAATTTTGACTTTTAATAATGCTTTTTTATGTCGTATTATTATCACAACGTCATACGGTATACAATGGATTAAGGTAGTCAATCTGGATTGAAGTCTAAATTTAATAGGGAAAATTACCCCATCCCTTTTCCCGCTTCGGACAGTTCCCTCAGTTCTCGTTCCAGGCCAGGTTTTTTCTAAAAAATTGAGAGATCCCCTCCCTCCTCAACATTACCCGATCGGCGTTGATGATAACCCTATTGCAAATTAAAAAAAATTGTTTCAAGCCATGTTTTTACCTTACACTTTAATGACACAATGTAAATGTTTTAATAATATTTTGTGATTAAACGTTGAAATCTATTATTCAAGACATGATTGCATGTTTGCGTGTAGAAAGTGAAGATTAGTTGTAATACAAATTGCCATGTAAAGGTGTTTTTAAGTTTGATAGAAATTTAAAAATGTTGTAATTTTTTCATAATTATTTAATTTTTTAATTTTGTGAAATCCCGGAAAGTGCTAATAAATAAAAGAGTTTTTAAATGCTAAATTTTTAAACATAATGAGTAGTCACGGACCCAATTTATTTTTGATTTTTCTCACTATTAGAAATTTATCTTCTTGTTTTAAGTTTAAAAATTTGCATTTCTTAAGGTCTAATAAAGGGGGGGGGTGAGAAGAGGAAAGAGGGGGAGGAGGGGTTAATGATTACAAAAAGAGGACTTTACTAAGGCTTAGAAATAAGAAACAGTGAATCAATTTTTTGATTACAACTATGTTTTTGACTTTTTTGTGATTTTTGCATACTTGACATTAGCAAATTTTTAAAATTTTTAAAAAAGAACAATTCAATCTTTCAGTCTAAATTTTTCAAAGTTTATCATAAATTCTTTTACTCATTGTCTATTTTCTTCATTCTCATTGTATCATACGGATGGGAGTTTGAAACAATGGCCGAAATTAATATAATTTGTCCCACACCGCTTTCAATTAATCGCTTGATTTTGTTGCCGCATTAAATTCCCTTCTTTGTATTTTTAGCTAGGCTAAAACCAAGGGGGTTTTTGGAAATGCATTCTGCCATAAAATGTGAAAAAAATTTATTTGCGAGCCGGCGGCAAAATGCGTCTTAATCGGGTGCGGTTTTCGGGTAATCAAACATTTTGCTTCAAATTGCCAGCTATTCTTTGGATTAGGCGGCACCGAAGTTTGAAGTATACATTAGCAGTTTATATACCTGAGATGAAGGTTGTGCTCAGATAGTAAGTGGGATTTGTTTAACAAAAATTAAACCTGGTTTTATTAAACTGTAATGATAATTTGATCAACAAACGTTAACAAAAATAGTTTACAGAGACTTTTGTCTTTTATTTGCCCCCTCAGCGCCCGGGACTGAAGATATCACAGTTAATACAGGCCGAATTTAATAATACATGTTAAATGCTTTATCAACAGTAATGGTGGTTTGTTAAAATTTGTATTTTACTTTATGGCAAGATAAGTTTCTTTATAGCTTTATTGTGCAACAAAAATTGAGCACGAATATTGTTCAAAATGCGTGCAAGCCCCACGAGCTGTGGTACTAATTAACAAGGAGCGTCTTTAACAATATTAGTTTTTGTTTTTCGTGTTAGGGTTACTGATGTAATATTTATATTCGCAGCATGGAAAATGCCGCATTTTTGGCGTTTTGAGTACTTTTTTTTGGTATTAAACAGATAAACAATTTTTTACATTTTTATATTATAATGTGAACTTTGTAATATTATAAAATATATTTAAAAAAACTTATAAAAAAAAATGTTTTATTTTTGTATAAAAGATTAATAGATTTTGTAAAAATGTATTTCACTTGTAAGAAACTAAGTGCTAAAAATGCAAACATTACTTTCTATACCTTTACAATTGTATTTGTAAATTCCTTTGTGTATTCATATGTTTTACATTTAGTTTTAATTTGCTAAGTTTGCTTTTTGGTTGCTGTAGTTAACAATTCAGCTTAAGGTATGACAGTCACTTTTAACCTTTTTAATCATATTTTATGAATTTCGCGAATTTTTTATCTTTAGCTAAATTTATGCTTTTATTTATTTTTTTTGACAATTTCAGCTTTTTATGTAATGTCAAATGCATACAATGCTACAATTTTATCCCCTGTGTTCAAAAACTTTTTATGGCGGAGTCATGTGGGCGATTGTGAACCTATACAAGTAAGATTTAAAGATAAGTTTTCTTAAAATCTCAAAAAGTTTTAATTTAATTTCTTTTCTGTGTTTTTTGCAGTGATTTCAATAATAATTTTAAAATCAATACAATTAATTTTACTACTAATTTCAATTTAGGCCAGCATACCAGAAAAAGTAGATTCGCTAGGTATTCAATTATTGTTTTCTGTGTTATATTTAACTGTTTGGTTATGTGCTATTACGGGGAATTTATGTGTTATATACGTTGTTACATTAAAACAGGTAAGTTCAATTTTTAATGTTTTGACGTGAGATATGCACAATAGGTTAGCGTTTTTGATACTTTACTCAAGCCAATTTTCAGGTATCTCTTTCCGCTGTTCGCTCAGTATTTATTTGTTCGTTAGCTGTCAGCGACATATTAATGTCGTTGACGTCTTTACCCATTACTGCTGTCTCTATATTCACTCGCGATTGGGTGTTTCCACGAATCTTTTGCAAACTGATGGGAGTTTTTCAAGGCGGTAGTGTATTTGTTTCTAGTTTTACACTTACCGCCATCGCAGTAGACCGGTACATTTTGATTAAACACCCAGCTTCATCGGTAAGGCAAAATTTTAACTTAATATGTTTTTCATAAAAAATTTCAAATGTGTATCTTTAAATTATTTTTTTACAGTTATTACTAAAACTCAATTTTTTTTGTTTAGAAGGTAAATTTTAACAAAGCTTTGCTAAGCGTGATACTAATATGGATTATGGGTTATTTGTTTGCACTGCCGGTAGGCATATTCTCAAATACGGAGCCTTACACACCATTATGTGGACTATTTTGTGAGGAAACATGGTACGTTTCACAGTAAATCAACATCATTTTTTGTTTTTTTAAACATGTTTTATTTCTGTTAAAAAGTGTAAATTTTAAATCTTTGCAGGCCAGATATAAACAATCGTGGCAATTCGCAGATGCGCAAGACATACGGTATGTACATTCATATTAAATTCAAAAAAGCTTAAATGAATATATATTTATAATAAACGTTTGCCTTTTTAGGGTTAGCAGTTTTGATTATTCAATTTGGACTGCCATTAGTGATATCTTCTATATGTTACTACAGTATTGGCCGAGTAATTAATCAGCAGATTAAGAAAAGGCATCAGTCACAAGTTTTGCTTCAAGATAATCAAAATCGTTTAGAAACCCGAAAACATCGTTCAAATCGGTAAGGACGTTCAGTTTTCTTAAAATTTTTCATGATGAATACGCATTTATATCTCACTTTTTTACAGGATGATGGTCGCTATGGTGGGAGGACTCGTTTTAGCATGGCTTCCTATGAATCTCATTAATTTGATGCGAGACTTCGACGCATCCCCGGACCGCTTCAATGATTGGTATTCGTTAGTGTTTGCCGGATGTCACGTGGTAGCTATGACATCCGCCGTCTGGAACTTTGTCATCTACAGCTGGTTTAACCCGCAATTCAAGGAAACTTTATTACAAGTTGGGAAACAACAAAAACAAAGCAGTACTTATCACGCGGTAGCAAGGACGCGTTCAGTCGCAAACGAGCGGCCTGATTTTTGACAATGTAATTAAGATTAAATGTAAAAATAATAAAACACGAATTATTTTTAGACTTTTAATTTCTTTTTTAAGCATTAGTTTATGAACTTACTCCCGCGTAGCTCGCTTCTAACAAGGAAAGTACGCGACCTGTGCCGCTCTGATTGACTTCAAACTTTTTATGTTGGAAGACCATGTAAATATAAGACCTTCAGCAAAGTACTAAATCGCGCTTTCCGACCAACCTCGAGAAAATCGAGATCAAAAAACTGCGTTTTGAATTTCCCGCCAAATTGGCTTTGTGTTTCAAGCTTATAACTTTGTCATTTTTTGACTTTTAAGAATTTTTCTTTGATACACTAGTAGAATATCTTTAAATGAACCTACATTTTTAAGTCTGTAAGTCAAAAAAAAGTACTTGAAACACAATGCCAAATTTGCCAAATTGGTAGGAAACCAAAATAATTTAAATTTAAAACTTTTTAAACTTTAAAAAACACGAGTTAAAATTTTTTATGGGTACTATTGATGGCACAAGAAATTCATATAAAAAATTGGGCAGGTAGGTACTTTCCTAGTAAGTTCTTTGATAGTGTAAAATGGGTTTGATCCAAAATGAAGACGAGCCGGACGTCGACGGTGCCTGAAACTAAAATGTCTGACCAGCCCATTTTCCAAATACAGTGAAACTCTAGTATAACGAACTCTTCTATAACGAATAAAAAATTTGGCCACAAGAATAGTTACCCAATATAATAAAATTGGAACATTGTATTAAATTTTATGAGTTTTAATTCTTTTCATCAATATTAATGAACTACACGTATCACTTTTTTACAATGTTTTAAGTGATTTGTGTATAATTTATATTTCAAACATTGAAGAAATTGGAAAAATTTACTGTTTTCCTACAATTTAACTGGTTAATTATTATTTCTATATTTTTATTTATTTTATTACTTAAATAGCTTTTTTGACCTGTTTCTTTATAAAACTGAAAAATATATCTTTAAGGGTTATAAAAATAGAAGCCTACGTAGCTTGGAATGAGAAAAATACCGATTCGCGGGATATATGTCTTCAAAACAGCCCTACTATATACCGTTTATGCAGTAGCTGTGTTATTCTGTAAGTGTTTTAATGAAACGATAATTATGAAAAAGCAATTGTTAGGTCGTTGTTAAATGCTCTTTTAGACGTTTTATGAAAAATATGAACGTTTTAAGAAACAGTGTTAAAAGGATTCTAAATAAAACAAAGAAAAGCATTTCCAACTTTTTTTAAGTGCTACCGTGAGGTGCAATGAATCTTTAACCTACCAGTACAATAATGTAAATTTATAAAAACAAATAATTTAGGCGTTACCACATTGTATTCGAAAAAGCCAGGTATCACTGTAAATCAATTAAAAACATTCAACATTACTTTTAAAAATTACAAAGCAGAATACAAATTACAACCGCCTTCAGATGATGTGTGTAATGGAGTTGATGTGATTGTGCTTTTGCCATCTCGGGCAAATGGTATAGGATTAGAATACCGAAATATGATTCGGGACTCGTGGTTGGCTAAAAATGTAGATTTTTTGATTTGATAAATGAATTTTTTAAATCTTTTTTACTTTTGTTGTATATAAAAGAGTATAAAATGTCAACTTGTATATACTTTTATATTCTTGTTACACAACACCTTATACTTAACTACAGGTTACTCCGGCCAGATATGCCTACCGTTTTGTGGTTGGTATACCAACCGAACGTACCAAATCCAGAACCAACCGACTCCGTACGTTGTTATACGACGAACAAAAAGAAAATAATGATCTAATTTTGTACACTTTAAACGACACTTACTATGATCTTCATTTAAAAACCTACATTTTAATGAAATGGCAACAAACTTACTGTAAAAACGCACGTTATTTGCTGAAAGCCGACGATGATACAGCAATAGACTTAGAAAGACTCGACGTACATATTCATGGAATTTTTGAGAAAAAACGAAAAGAAAATCCGTTGGTAGCATTTGGTCATGCTTTGCAAGGCGGCCCGTACCGCGACAACTCTAGTAAATGGTAAAACTATTTATATTATTGAAATATGCTAAAAAAAAGTAACTAAAAAAATTTTCGGCTTAAAAAATAAAATTGTATCCGTGACTTCTTTTCTAAAAGTCAACAATGAATTTTGCAATTAACATTTTTAAATTGTAGCCCTTAAAAAATTTTTTTTAGGTACGTATCAAAAAAAGAATATCCAAACGATAATTATCCTCTATACACTAACGGTGCAATTTACTTGATTACCACAGCTAGCGTAAAGAAAATATTAAATATTGCAACAAGCAGTAATGCAATTCATATTGAAGACGTCTTGTTTACTGGTATTTTAGCAGAAAAAGCTGGGGTGATCCGGTACGGAGTCAGTGGATTTGTTTTGCTTTATGAGGTAAGCTCGTTCTAGTTAATAATCAAATACTTTGTGTGAAATCAAATGTTGCTAACGTATATACGTTATTGTATTATTTAAAACAAAATAACTGCAGGTACACAAACGATGTTACCAAAACACCCCGCACGTCATGGGTATTATTTCGTTGAACTACAACGATATAGCAACACATTTCAAAACACTAAAAGAAATACGATGTAATAACGGTAGTCATACTTATCCGAACATATTCACTGACCCAGCAAATCCACTCGAAACATATGACACCGGAAATTTAAAAATCATTACGCTACCAACCACAATTGCTCCAAAAAGGAACAGTGCAAAATAGCAACAAACAGAATCGAACAAAAATCATCGACCTGTTTTGCTCAGTTTTTTCCAAATTAAAAAAAAACATGGACTCGTTCAATATTATTGAAAAAAAACTGGTCGTAGGTAACTCCTTCTCCTACTTAAAGAAGTATCGTTTAAAAAATTCTTTCCTTTTTTTAAGTGTTTTCGTTCAAAAATTTTTTAATACTTTCTAATGATAGTACTATTGGGTCTTTCTGAATAAAATTTTTTAAATGTTTTCGTAAATTTAAAGCAACCATTACACATCGTAGCAAAAAATTTGTGTATTTAAATGTAAAACTAGTGAATTATACAAAAACTTTGAACTAATTATGCTTAAATGTTGTCTATTCTAATTATACATACTGTTATGTTTTGTATGTCTGTCTGGTTTTAAGAATAATGACTTTCGATCACAAATCAATTGCTTGATAAAATGAATTTAAAAGATCATAAAAATTTTCTTTTATTAAAAAATAGTAAATATTTTCAAAAAGAACAAACTAAACACAAATAACCTAATTTTGAGGTCCCATAACTAGTACTAATGGCTTTATGAACAGCTAAAAAATTTTATCTTATCTTACCAAGCTTACACTTTTTTACGGCGTATAAGTCGCTTTTCTAGGTTCAATACCTCACGTTTGCCGACCCCTTGTCAGACTTAAATGCATTTTATTTTTTGCAGTGGTAACAGATAAGGCACTTCGTCCTACATCTAAAATCGATTCACAAAAACCCTAAAAACGAATTTTTTACTTGTTTTTGTAACAAACATGTCTGTTTTTAATTGCTGTTTAAGCTCTACATGAAAGTGGTTCGAACTCAAATAACGTAGATAAATCTCAATAAATTTGATCAAATATAAAAACACCTTCGAATGGATGTATTTGACTGTTTGCACAAATGCCTGAATATCAATTAAAATTAATTTGTGAGTTTCACATATAACAACGCACTTTTTTTTATTTGTCATTAATATTTGTTGTTTAAATTAAACCAGGTTGAAAGAACATATTCAGTTTGGCTTCACATGAAACATAACATCCGTTGTGTTGGTTCAATCGATACTACAGTTTGTTTCTTCAGAGTATGAAGCATTATTTTAGCTTTCAAATATCTAAACTAATATTTGTTTAACTAAATTTTAAAAGAATAATCGTAATATTATATTTTAAAAGTATTAATACTGCCCTATTGAGAATTCCGTTAATTTTGGGCAGTTATGCAGCCTGTTAATCATTTTAAAGCACAGTACGCTGCACATCGAGTTTTGATTGCCATTACATATGTTATTCTAATCTTTTCACGTAAGTTTTTTTTTAATTCCGGACCAACGTTACGTGGATCTGAAACTTCTGTATAACGCAACTTCTCTTTAACGAACAAATTTAAAGCCCATATCGATACGTTATACAGCAGTTCCACTGTATATCTTCTATTTAGAATAATAAATTTCTCTTTTAGTACTATACCTTCTCCTTCATACAATACCTTTGCAAAAAGCAAAATTATGGAATGAAGAAAAGTTTGTTTTAAAATTTAAAACAAACAGTTTTGAATACGTAGTTCGAGCACCAAACGGCAGTTACTGTGATGATGCAAAAGCCATAGTTTTGTTGCCAACCCGCCCCACCTACGGTGGATTAGATGCAAGACTGGCGATTCGGGACAGTTGGCTTAAATCAGAAGTAATAGCTATTTTTAATTAAAATTATTACTAACGACTCTCGTCATAAAAACACTATAAATGACCACAATTTTCTAACTATAAAGAGTTTTAAAAAAATGTAAAGACAGTATATATTACAAAAAAAATTCGCAAACCCTTCTTCTAGCAAAAATATGGTCATTTTTTTGCTGCGTAGAGCAAAAGTCAACATTTTTTTTAAAGTTTTATCTTGGTTTTACTAATTTTTATTTGTGTTGTACAGTGTCATAAATTTTTCAGAACGTTCCCAAGGGCATTAAATACAAGTTTGTGTTAGGTCTACCACAACACGCTTCACAATCTCGAATTAAAAAGTTAAACCGTATGTTAAAAGAAGAACAAGACGAATACAACGATATGATCATCTACAATCTACCCGACACATACAATAATTTGTTTGTAAAGACGGGTGTGTTACTTCAATGGCAACAAAAATATTGCGCAAATGCCAAATATGTGATCAAGGCGGATGACGACACAGTAATCGATCTCCACCGTTTGAACAAACAGTTAGATATTTGGTTTAGCGCAGAAGCAAAACAGTACAAAAAGCTGGTCTGGGGTCAAGTATTAAGTAATTCAACTGTTATCAGAAATAAGGAAGACAAATGGTAAGCGAATATATAAATTTTAGCTGTCCTTAAATTTTTAACTAAAATACTATAGTTGTTGTTGTCAACTTCTAAAAAAACTAAATTATGTAAAAAAAGATATAACCCTTGAATTATATACTTTTAATTTGTACCTTGGACGAAAACCTTGAATTCTTGTCCACGAAAAATCTCTCATAATTTTGTGCGTTCTCTAGTTTTTCTCTAATGCCGACGGCAATCAGACAAAAATAGGGATCTATGAGATTTTTTTCGTGGACAAGGATTTAAGGTTTTCATCCAAGGTACAAATTAAAAGTATATAATTCAAGGATTATATTATTAAAAGTATTAAAACAAGGTTCGCCCAAGAATCAGACATGGGGTGTTCAAAAATTTCAATATATTTTAAAATTGTTTATTTTTTGACAAGAGGTAGTACTTAGGCATAGAAATGCAAAAATATAAAAAATTTTTCAAAATTTGGGTTACGGTAGGAGTACGGTAGGATTTAAACTTTTTTTTGTAACTATTGTACTAAATGTCAGAATTGAATGAGATTTTTTTTAAAATTTTTTGTCACTATAAGACATTCATTTTATCTGTTGAAAACTTTTTTTTATTATGCCCGGAAGGCATAGAAAAAAATTAAAATTTGCCAAAAAATCATGAAAATTTTACGAAATTTAAAATTTCTCAAAAAAACTTCACATGTGATAAACTTTTGACGATAACTGGTATACCTACATGCTATTGCGGTTTTAATGACACTAATTTTGGGTCATGCCAGCGGGGCTTGCGGTAGCTACGAACTTTTAAAGTTAACACCCTAGGGTCAGTTAGCATAGGATTTGGCTGTAATTTGATTCAAAAAGGTTAAAAAAGATGCATGGCACATATTGCAAGTTTTATAAGTGTTTAAAAATAATTTCTTTTATATTGCATTAGGGAATTTGTAATTAAAAAAAGTGAATTTTTTTAAATTTAAATTTAAAAAAAATTTAAAGCTCGGAAATTAAAATAATATGCCTTGGCTTTTGGTAAGTGACCTATATAAAAAAATTTTTTTTGAATAAAATCCTATGCTAAATGACCCTAGGGTGTTAACTTTAAAAATTCGTAGCTACCGCAGGCCCCGCTGACATGACCCAAAATTAGTGTCGTTAGAACCGTAATAGCATGTAGTTGTACCAGCTATCGTCAAAAGTTTATCACATGTGAAGTTTTTTTGAGAAATTTGAAATTTCGTAAAATTTTGATGATTTCTTTGCAAATTTTAATTTTTTTAATGCTTTCCGGGCATAATAAAAAAAAGTTTTCAACAGGTAAAATGAATGTCTTATAGTGACAAACAATTTAAAAAAACTCTCATTCAATTCTGACATTTGGCACAATAGTTACAAAAAAAAGTTTAAATCCTACCGTAACCCGAATTTAAAATTTTTTTTACATTTTTGCATTCCCATTCCTAAGTACTACCTCTTGTCAAAAAATGAACGGTTTTAAAATAGTCTGAAATTTTTGAACACCCCCGTCTGAGCCATGTTCGATTCTTGGACGAACCTTGTTTTAAGGTACCTGGCAGAAAATAAGTACGACAAAGAATACTTCCCCAGCTACACAAATGGTGCCGTATATGTAATGACAACAGAAGCAACAGCCGCAATATTGAACTCAACGGAAAAAGTTGAAGACATCTTTTTAGAAGATGTTTTATATACAGGGATTCTGCGACAAGAAGCTGGAATCAGTATAATGAACGTTGAGACATTTTATCCTGAATATTGGGCAAGTTTTTGGTATCGCTCGTTTCGTTGTTCTGTAGAAAACATTGCTTTTCTTTTGAATTTTCCCGTCAATTTCGTCGGGGAAGACAAAGTGATCATATTTCATTTACGTGCTGTATTAAAACAACTTTAAATTTCAGTTCCATGAGTACTGCGAAAACAACATGCCAATTTTAGCGGGCGTATACGGTTTGTCAACAAACAGTGTAGATTCCATGTACAAAACTTTACAATCAATCGACTGTTCAAAACCCAAAAGTTTAAATGGAAGCTATGAATATGTGAATAGGGGATCGTAGCGTTTAACGTCAGTAAAGTTTTATTTTTAATCACAGTGTATTATATTACAAAACATTAGTAAATAATTACATCTAAAGGAAGCTGGACGGAAAAGTTAAAAAAAACCGGGCCAAAAAATTGAATCCGGCCCCTTTACGGATTTAGTGTAAAAACAAAATTGACCGTTTTTTGATGTAGTAGACATGTGGAACGGGCCGGCCCGGGCCTGACCCAAGTTTAGGTCGGGTCGGGCCTGAGGCAAAATTTAGGCCCGGCCCGTTCCATGTCTAGATGTAGACGCTGCTTAGTTACGAAGTTACAAGGAAACTATAAGCTAAAATTAACTACTATCTCGTTTTTTTCGCAAAACCCTACCTTAAAATGTTATAACACATCAAATTAAAATAGACATATTATATAGTATAACATATTAACTTAAACTAAAAAATATTGTTTTAAAAAAAGTTTAAATTAAAATGCACGTGTTAGTACGCTGGTCTCTTCAAACCATATGAATGCTTTCGATACCGCCTATCTCCACCTTTCTTTTCCTTAACAATCCGTTTTGATCCCCAAACCTTTGCCTTGTGTCGATCGTTTAAGATTCTCAACCATTCCGTCTTCAAAACGTCTCTGACGTTAAGGTATCTGCCATCCTTCTGCAGTGACACCAATGTGGCCATGGAAGACAAAGAAGTTGGCACCTCAATGTGTCCAAATGGGTTTTTGTAAGGCTGTTGTTCTCCTTGAATATTTACCGCCATCATTGGAGCTCCCATTTCGTCAACAGGAAATATAACACCAAGACCAAACATGTCCGAGGGATAAATAGGGTATCCTAAAGAATTTGTGATCAAACAAAAAATGTTAATAATAATAAATAAACATTGATAAAAATAATATATCAGTATAATTTTCTCTTTTTTCAAGTAATAAAAAATTTTAAAAGTATCTAAATTAAAACACAAGTGTCAAAAGCACCCACTTCCACACTTTGACATCGGGACAACCGGATCGCCATCTTTGTTCAAAGGAAATATTGGAAAACCATCATTATCGTAAGATAAACACCGATGTCCATCACCGTAAAACTTGTGGTTTGGACAAGGCTTATACTTGTCGAAATCACTCATATTCACCGATAATATCGGGCACACAGGAAAGATAGGGTTTCCAAATGTGTCATACGGATATACCATAAAATCCTGACCTCCGTCAGTCTCGCGAAGTTTTAGAAATGGTCGCATATATTCATCAGTCCCAAAAATTTGCCGAAAGTCCAGTACTTTTTGAGAAAATAGTGATCTAGGTATTTCTGTTACCTAAAATCAACTATAAACTTGAATAAAATATTCCTATTTTGCATAAAGCAAGAAACAAACTAGAAATTAGATGTAGAACATTATTTACACAATTGCCACAAAAACAAACACCTAAACATGAAATAAATACAAAAATACTTACTTTACACCATTTCAGTCTGATTCTGCTCGGATTGCCAGCACTATTCGTATCTTCAACCAACCAAAAATCAGAACTGTCATTCTTAGCATAATACCAATGATTTAGCAAATCCAAAGCAAAGATACGACCAGTTCTAGGATCTCTAAATCGCCTATAAAGTGTTAGCCTGTCTCCTGGAACTGGCTGAAGATCTCGCGGTACCATAACACCATCTCGGTTAGTGTAACCTGGCCCTACCTGTCGTTGATGTGCTAGTCTATATTCTAACCTGCAAGTAATCAATTAAGCTGATAAAAAAATTTAAGACAAATAAAATTAATGTTGAAGCTAGAAAAACGTAAAAAATCAAAAAAACCTACGGAACTGAATAATCCTCATAAAAAATACTATCTTTATCAGTTAACTTAGTCATAGCAAATTTTGTTAGTAATATTTTACTTTATTTAAAAAAACAGAGTACTCTCCATTGACGAAGTCTGGAAAGCTCAAACAAATTTAAAAAATAATAGAAAGCTAACGTATAACAAGTTTTTTGCAGTTTGAACATATGATCTCGGGCGCGCGCTGCTGGTGTTTTCGAAAGTATTTTTTAAGAAATTTTTCCTTGAAGATTTTCGTATGATCAAATTCTTTTACGAAATGTCTTCCCGTCTGAGGAATATAATTATTTTATTGTAATTTTTTGTCGGGAGTTTAATTTTATTATTATTTACATAATTTTTTTGTTATTTTTAATTTTTAGGACTTGGCAAGATGTCGGTATTTCATGACGAAGTGGAGATTGAGGATTTTGAGTTTGATGAAGGAGCTGGTGTTTATCATTTCCCATGTCCTTGCGGCGACAGATTTGAAATTACAAAGTATGTTTTTCAATTTTTCTTTATAGTTTTAGGTATTGATTGAAGAATTAAAAAACGCTTTCACGTTGTTTTTATGGATATTATAGGATATTTTTTTTATTACTATGACGCTTAATTGCATAACTTTTTTTTTATTAGAGAGCAGCTAGAAGCCGGAGAAGACGTAGCTGCATGTCCGAGTTGTTCTTTATTGGTGAGAGTGATATACGACATGGAGATGTTCGTGCAGATGGAAACGATAACCGCATCAACACCAGTAACGGCTTGACTTTTGTGTTTTGTTAAAAATTTTATTTGTACAAATTATACTGTTTATTTGTTATGACTTTGGGAATAAATCTGAATTGAAATTATTTGACTTTTTTGAAGAACTGTATTCAAAGAGATAGGTTGGCAATTTCTTGGTCCGAATCCTGAAAAAAGAATATCGTATTACGAGTTTTGAATATTTTAAGTTTCGACGTTGTCTTTTGTTGCTATTTTTCACCTTTAATGTGATTCCCGATTAATCAATGAAGGCAAAAGTTAATCACGTGCGGCTTTATAACGGAACCGGAATTTCACTTACAAAAATCTTTTGAATGTTATGTAGTTGATTTCCAAGCAGCTTCCCATGAACAAAATGACTATGTGAAGACAAGATCTTAGCCACGGCTAATGCAACTTCATCAGCACCAAGAACGGTGGCACAGCCAACTCCACTGGGCATTCTCAATGAACTCCACACATCTTGAGCAGCCCAATCAGCACTAAAGGGAGGAGCATTGATTACTGGTAGAATAGAATTTGCAGCCAGTACTGGACCCAAGCCATTGGATCTGCCAGCAATTGCGACTAGTACACAGGGAGCAGCGCCATTTTCGAACTCTCCAATTAGTTCTAGTGCTTCTGTGGTCGACTTGTGGGCCGAGCATACGCGAATTGTTGGTATGACACCTAGTTTTCTAAGTCCAGAAGCAATTTTCTTCCCATATTCTGCATCAGCTGCAGAGCCCATCACAATGATCGCTTCTACATTCGGGGTTTTGGCAGAATCAGCAAAGTCTGCTGTCAATTCGGCGACCCTTTCGTAGTTTTTCTTTACTTCTCTCAATGCTTCATCGGTAACTTGGGGCAGGTCACGGTAGACTTGCTTGTCCAACTGAAGTCGACGGTCTCCATTAGGCCATACTCTCCAGCTGTCATTGTCAATGACATCGGCTAAGACAAGATCGCCTTTCTTGGTCACGCCAAACTCAATTTTCATGTCCACTAACACACATCCCACCGTTCGCCATGCTTTTTCTAATATACGAAATATTACTGATGTGGCACGGCTCATCCAATTGTATTCATGAATTGTAATTTTTCGGCCGTTAAATTTGAAGCCGGCTTCGAGGATTTGGGCACGGCTCCATTGTGGATCGTCATTTGCGTCGTCTTTGAAGAAGGTTTCGATTTGAGGTGGAGTGAATGTGTAGCCTTCTTTAACACCGGGATTTCTTTTTAAGAACGATCCTGTAGCAATTCGGCGAGCTACCCATTCAATAGGGATCATTTGGCAGCTTAAGGCTTCAAATTCAGTGTCAGAAACTTCTCTGATGAAATGGGTTTTAACTCCTGTAATTTTGGTAGAATAAAAAAGCTTTAAGAAAGCGAAATTAAAAGGAGATTTTAATTAAATATTTGGCGCTAGGATAAATGCGGTTTTTGGACATTTGCGGATCTGCGGTTTTTAGACACTTGCAGATCTTCGGTTTTTGGACACTTGCGGATTTTGGTCATTTGCGGATTTTTTAAAGGGGTTTTTTTATTTTTTATTTAATTTAGTTGTAGTATGGTACTAAATGGTACTAAAGTTTAAATTGGCACTGTCTTAATATTTCTTAATGTTAAATAGTACTAAATTTTTAATCGGTACTGTTTTTATATTTTTGGTACTAAATAGTACTAAAAGCCCAAAATGGTACTGTTATGTTAAAACCGTACCAATTCAAACTTTAGTACAATTTAGTACCACAATACAACTAAATTAACTAAAAAATAAAAAAATCCTTTAAAAAATCCGCAAATGTCCAAAATCCGCAAGCGTCCAAAAACCGAAGATCCGCAAGTGTCTAAAAACCGCAGATCCGCAAATGTCCAAAAACCGCATTTGTGCCAGCGCCAAATATTTGAAACTATATATTATAAATATTTTATGGATTAAAAACACTTACCACAAGAGTTAAGGTATCTAAAGATGTTGCATGTCGTTTTGGAAGCAGCTGCAGATTTTCCTTCGAGTTCGTTTTTGCGTTGAGCATTGAAGGCTGTTAAACTGTCCAAACTTTTAACCAAAACTTTGTTTTCATCACTGGGAATAGCATATATGGCTTTTGTTTTGCCTTGAGCAATTGGAGATGATGGCATTTCTAAAAAAAATAAATTTTATTTGTAACAATTGGTGGTCAAACCTTTCTCCTATTCTCTAATATTGTGTATTCAACCTCTCGGCCTATAAAAATAATATTAACACGGGCAAAGAAAAGTTCAAGTGATCAATAAGTCTTTAAAACATAGGAAAAGGTAGGATGGTAACCGACTACGACATTAGAAACGGTTGTTTTATTACGGAAATGCGCGTCTTTCGCAATTGCGCTTAATAAACAGCTTGATCAAAACCTGATCTTTGTTATAGTGCCGCCTTTTATTATCAGATAAGAAGTACAGTTTGTATTTGTACAAACTTTTGCTGATCGTTATCGTGATGAATTGTTAATTCCTAAAAAATATTTTGAGCAATATGATTTTGGTATAAAATATCTAAAAATTGATAAGTAATCTTGAAAAATAATGATTGGGGTGTCAAAAGCATCTTTTCTGCTTGTTAGCATATGAAATTTTTAACAATACACATTATAAAATGAATAAAACAACGTTTCTCTACAGTCTCGTTTGTAAAAATTTAAGGAAAAGAACATTTTTTTGATTAGTAACGTCTGGCGATAAGTTGCGTTTTAATTTCATTGAAATACATTTAACAAACTGTTGTTGTAACTTAACTTTTGCATGTATTTTTCAAGGTTATTTTAAGTTTATTTGTATATTTAAAAAAGAGTTCTTAATAAAAAACCATAAATTTTGTACGTAAATGTACCAGGTGATTTATTAAACTCAGAATTATAAAACTTTATTTTCTTCCAAAGTTGGTACGAGTAATTGTTTCTTGAACAACAGAACGTCCTCCAACTGGTCCATATGGTCCTCGTGGTGGTTGAGGTCCGAAACGGTTGTATGGTCCTGGACCACCGCCGCGACTTGTAATGGTTTCAGTGACAGTGACGGTTTCACGTGGGCGTCCAAATTGACGTTTGTTACGTAGCAGTCTAAAATGGCAGTGTCATTAGAGATGGAATTTCAAAAGTACTAAAGGCACCATATTTTTTGACTCACTAGTATGTAGTTCATGTGGTTAAAAAAATTAACTTTTGCACATGAAATTAGGAAAGGTTTAGTTTACAATAAAATTGCATCTTGAAACTTACGCTATTTCGGCAGATGCTGATGCAATGCACACAAAAAGCAAAAGAATAGCAAATACCTTCATTTTCAACAAAACTACCTACGTCGATGATTTTTTGAGCTATTTAAACCGTTTTATGTTGTAAAAAGTAAACATTTCTTCAAACTTCCTTCTTCATCAAATCTCACATTACTTTTTCCGATTATTGCCCAAACATTTTAACAAACCTTGCAAAAAGTCAGTTAGTTCAGTTGTAGTTTAAAGTTTAAGTCGGTTTCGCACAATTTCTAAACGCATTTTTACGAAACGTGTAGACATAAAATATAAAGCGTTGACTGATGTAATGTAAAAACTAAAAAAATATATAAAAAATGTAAAACTTCTTAAAAAGTAATTAACATAAACGGCGATGCAACTTTTGCGGACAAATTGTTGCAACATAGATAGTTTTGTACAATTTCCAATGTCATTAAGAAACGACATTGGCGGACGGTTTGATAATAGTATACTCATATCTTTTTACCGTATCATATCTTAACTATAAAATTTACCTGTCTTTTATAATGTACTCTAACACGTCGTATCATATCCTAACTATAAAATTTACATGTCTTTTATAATGTACTCTAACACATCTTTGCCTACGAATACAGCAAACCCTGTAAAAAAGTTAGTATAGAGCTAGGAGTCAGTAAGATATGCAACAATCAAGGTAATATTATACAACCGAATTCGTTAATGCAGAGTTATACATAACATTAAATTGAGCAAAAGTACAAGATAAAATTAGGACATCGATAAGGAAGAGATGGGTAAGATGGTTTAAAGATAGATAGACAGGAATGAGTTAGAGATAAACTAGGAATAGGATAAAGACAAGGTAGGGACAGGGTAGAGATAAGATATAATTATTATTATCATGTTATATTGTCCATTTTCAAGAGATCTGCGGATAGCGACAAGAATTAAACTTTTTGGAAATGCCGTTTTCTAATGACATTGGCGGATACAGAAACTTGTCTGCAACTGCCTATGAGCAAAAGTTTGTTCGCAACTGTGACACTGTCTAACAGACTTATGCTCATTTTATTGGTATATAAATGTACAACAAATATCGAGCGCTTCCAAATGCATTGCGTATCGACACTTCAGCCTAATGGCCTTGGCACACATCAAACGAACATCATAGTTGCTGTTTTGCGCCGAAATTGATGAAAATTAAAAAAAACCCTTTAAAAAGTTCCAACTTGTCCATTTTGTTAGTTTTTATTATGCCCCTAGTTTGAGATACTGACATCTTCTTGACCTTTGTGTTTTTTTGTATATCTCCGGACATAACAAAAAACATTGAACTCTTGTAGACTTTGAACAGCCGGCTTCCCATCTTCGGAAGACGCAACTTGATCGGGTCGAGTGGACAAAATTTGCGGATAAAATTGCGTTCGTTTCACTTTCACTGAGCTTGTAATTATTTTGTTGCATGCGTGACCATAGACTGTATTTTTATTTTTTTTTATTTCGTTTAATATGCGACTTGTAGCGAAAGTAGTAGCTGAAACAACATTATTGTTTCGTTTTTTGTATTAGACGGCTGCAAAAGTTTTCTGTCCGTCTGTTGCAACGTCTTTTGAGTTATTCTTTAAAAAATTTTGAATTGATATTTATGAGTGTCAAAAAATTCTTGTCGCCAATTAATTTGTCTTGGCACCTTAAACGTACGAAGCATAATAAAAAATATATAAATTAGTCAAAGCGAACATTTAGGATTAATGGATGTTTCGGAACCTTTTTTAAAGAAATTTCAATTTTCAAGGTAAATCGGTCTCAGTATTCAGAATTAGTTTTTTAACTAGATTTCACGCTAAACTTTAAACTTTAAACATTTTTTTATGATTTTTGGAAAATATATCGCATGTAACTTTTGTGCATTAAATGTTTTAAAGATATTTAATAACGTGAATAGAGAATGTTTATTGACCGGAGATTGTTTGCTGACCAGAGGTCTTGTCCTTGATGTGTTTATTTTTGCGTTTTTTATTATTATAAGAAAGTTTAGTATCGAAAGAAGGTAATTATAAAACTACTGCAAGCAGGACCGGAAAAGAGCGGGGCACAAGGCAAAGGTAATGTTTCTTTTGCTATACGTAGATGTCTTTAGCTTTTTCATAAAAAAATATTGTAGCGTATGCTGTAGCAGTATAAAAAGCTATTAGTTCGGATTCTGTTATGCAATAGCTGTCTATTGTCCGTTCTGGTTAATTATTCCGCTAAACGCTGTGCTTCATTCTATTATTGTTGTGCAACTTATTAAACATATCCGCTACTTACTAAAACGATTTTGTTGTTAGTAGTGTCACACTACAAAAATAGTTTGAGTTCTTTTAAATTAAAAAACTGAATAAAAAATTGCTTTTAGTATGGTATAAGGTGCTATCTGTTTGGCGTGGTGCTCTAAAAGAAATTAAAACCTATAAAGGGTTAATGTGGTCCATCGTCAATGTCAAAAAAGTAAACTTTAGACATTATTTTTAAAAATGACATTATATGCGCGTTCCTCCAGATATATGAAGCTACTTTGAAAGCCGATTATGGCTTAGATCAATTTAAATAAAGCACGCACTTTATCTGTTTGACCTTGTATATCATACCATCATAACAAACATTTTTATTTTATATTTTTGGAATTTTATTTGGATTACTTTTTAATAAATAGTGTTTGAAATGCCAACCCACGTCAAATTTTTTTGATTTTATTTAGCAAAGACATTTTTTCTGCCCGCCATTGAAAAGGAAAAGTGTTCTACGGTCACAGCAGATATAAAGTGTGCGATATATTATAGAGCACGGCCAAAATATAATAGTATATCGATGAAAAATTACTGAATATTTATATTCAAACCGAATTTTGAAAATGAACAAAATTTAAACTTTGCACCCGTGTCACACCATGAAGAATCCCCACAGGGGGTATTTTTTTAATCGTTATTGATTATTTTTAATATAAAATGGTGCATTGTGTTTTTCGCATGGTCAGTATCACATGTAAAGACAAGTCGAAGTTTAATTGTTTTTTGAGGATAATTTTTAGCAATTTAGGTGCGAAATTTTTTAAAATATCCGAATTATCGCGCGAAAGGAGGTTGCGAATTCTTTTAGTTCACAAACGTTCTATAAAGTTTTTAATAATTGTTGACTGCAAAAAACTGCGGTTTTTTAAATTTTCATACAAATTAAAAGTTTGTTTTACAAGGTGTAAGAATTTTGCAGAAACTTTAATTAAGAGGAGCGGGAGGAGAGGGGGGGGAGGATTTTGCTGATTTCACTTTTCTGAAGCGAATTTGTTTTTTGTCAATAAAGTAGGGATTCTCGATATTGATCTACCATTTATTTTTTAGTTTTTTAAACAAATAGAGTTAAACAATTTTTTTAAAATGTGACATATATAGTCGTTTAATAAATATGCCCTTTATATCTTTAAGCTACGTGTTTTGTACTTCCGCGCAATTTCATAATAAATTTTTCTAAATTTTTATTTTTAAAACACAAAGTTGAAAAATTTTTACACTATCGAAAAAATTTATTACTTTTTTACTTTTCAAAACCTTTTCAAGGCCAGAGTTAATTAAACAAAAGTTAAAGTATGTTTAAAGTCGAATCCAATCACCCCATTAAAAATTGGGCCAAAAAATAGCTCGAATGGCCAAACAAACCTTTGGCAAGTTTTTCTTGGCCAATTCTTCTTCGTCTTTTCGATTTTTATTGTTTTTCGGTTATTTTAAATCTGGCTTTTCGATTTCGAATTTACAGATTCGACAAACTCAATTGACAATCTACGATTTTTTTGGGTTACTGCAGTTTATGAAGAAGTTCTATAAAGTATTGTAAATTAAGCTAAATACAAGTATAAATTTATAGTATAATAATATGTAGTTTTAGTACAAAGTGAATTCATTACTTTTACTTTTTACTAATAAAAGCAAAAGCGACAAAAATTTTGACCTGAATATTCGAATTAGCACTACCAGTTTTTTGATCGTTTGCTTTTATGAAATGAAAAATTTGTTTTATGGGGTTATTTGGTTCAAAAATTGACGGTATTAGAAAAACATGACATTTGCAATAAGGCTTGCTTTTTTACAGGGTAGAGGGTGCACAATTCTTCCAATAAATATAAAACTATATCTCGTATGAACACCAATTTATCCAAAAGGCTTTTCATCATTTAATTATTATTCGTATGCGTTGAATTAATACATACTTGAATTTTAGTAGCTGGTTGCAATTTCAGAGTAACTAGTTTCTTTTAATTTGCTTTTTTATAGTTATTAGAAAGGTATATCCGATCGAATTAATTTGTTTCATGACTTTGCTACTTAAAAAGGTTGTAAATTAAAGTAGAGTAGTAACATTTTTTAGCAATATTATAAATTAGCAGTGTGCAGTAAGTTGTCAGGCACAAAGTCATAAACTTGCAAAAAAATTCTTACTTTTTAAAAATATACCGTATTTCTTGTGATACTAAACTTACAAAATTTTATTTTACTGAAAAGTATACGATTCTCTTGCTTGATAAATAGAAAAATTATTACTAAATTCTCACTATCACCGTAATTATTAGGAACCTTCCTATAATATTTTATAATATAATTTTGTGACACTCTTCTAATTACTGAATATTCATAAAATGATTTATTTTGTGGTTTTTGTTTTCTAAGCTTGTTTTGATTTATAAATGCGACGTATGCTACCTCTGGTAATGGCTATGTTAACATATTAAGATGTGTACTTTCTTTCTTTTTTAAATAATATTTTGATTTAACGAATTACGTTATTTTTATAAAACGACAAGTAAAACGATGTTACTAATCAACCAGTGTTTTACTAACAATTTGGCGAAAATAACGACTGTTTTGCGCGTTTTGGGTTTCCCTCTCGACATTTTTGTTTTTCGCGCTCCCGCGTCGCGCATTATAGTAATTCATTGGCGAAACTGGTAAATGACATGAAAAAAATATTTTAATTTTATAAATAAGTCCTTGTTTAAAGCTTCTTTTTTCCATTGCATACGTTTTTTGAATAGAATTTTTTGCATATAAAAATAAAATTATGTGATACTGGAAAATTTTCAATTAACAAGGAAAGTGCCCGACTTGCCCCGCTCTGATTGACTTCAAAATTTTTATGTAGAAAGATCATGTAAATATAAGATGTACAGCAAAGTACGAAATTGCGCTTTCCAGGAAATCCCGAGAAAATCGAGATTAAAATTACATTTTGAATTTCCCGCCAACTTGGCATTGTGTTTCAAGCTTGCAACTTTGTAATTTTTTGACTTTAAATAATTTTTCTTTGATATACTAGTAGATAGCCTTTAAGTGAACCTACATTTTTAAATTTGTAAGCGTATCATGTCTGGAAAGCCGAAAAAAGTGCTTGAAACACAATGCCGAATTTGCCAAATTGGCGGGAAACCCAAATAATTTAAATTTAAAACTCAAAAGCGCGAGCTAAAATTTTTTATGGGTACTATTGGTGGTACAAAGAATTCATATAAAAATTTTGAGCTGATTCTGAGCGGGGCACGTAGGGTACTTTCCTTGTAAAATTACCAAGGCCTGACAATGAGTAGGTGACAAATTAACTTAAATTAACAGCTGAGTAACTTCTCTTGACCCAACAAAAAGAGGTGCGACGTTGAAAAAAAAACTCAATTAATTTTCGGCTGACAAACATGATTTTTTTTCGAAAGTAGTCAAATTCGTTTTGCAAACTGTTACAAGTAGTAATTAATGATGGTGTTTTTTGCAAAGCAGCTGTTGAATTTTGCATGTTACGAATCAAGGATAAAATGATTAACTTTTTTCTTAAGTTTGAAAAATTTATTTGCTTTTACTTTTTAGAATGCGTATTAGTATTCGCATTTAGTCTTTAACAGGTTATTGAAAAGTTCTGGAAAGATGAAAATTCTTTATCCATGTTCACGCATGACTGCTGCTAGAATGTTTTAAATTGCCGTCTTACCTTTCACTTTTATCGTGTTTTCTTATGTTTTAAACTTTAATAAACAATTTTAAAAATCTATAAAAGATGTGATGGTGGCGAAGGAAAGGATGCTAAAAACATTTAAACAATTTAACATTGTCTCTGTTTTTATATAAAATTTCAAAATTTTAAGTATACATTTTTTAAAACTTTTCCTCAATTTAACTTATTTTTTTTATAGAATAGTGCGTGGTTCTCAACAGATGTTATTTAAATGCTACTTAAGATCTACCGGTTGACGATGACCTTGTTATCACAATTTTTTTTACAAACAAGGAAGGGATTCTATTGTTTCTCTTAAAACAATGGGATTATACGAGGGTTTTTTAAATTTTTTATAAATATATATCTAGTTTCTAGATCTTCTTCATGTATGAATTATTTTTTTTAGTTTTACTTACGTTCGTAGAATGTACTTCAAAATTTAAATATGACTTTAGAGGCACCTTTAACAAAGTTTTTTATTATGTAATTACAATAAATTCTATTTGATGAAAAGCCTTGCACTTTTTTTCTTAACGTATTTTTGATTAATTCGAATTCAGCATCGATTGGCTGTGGGATTTATAACAAAAAGACTCCACAAAACTTTTTTTCTAAACGTTAGAGGTTAATTTTTTGATTGTTTGTCGAGTGTAAACAGAACAAACATTGTGGGGTCGAAGGAAACGTTCAGTATCAAATAAACTCTCCTTAACGGTGGATTCATAAAAGGACAGTTAGAAATGTCACCTTTTTTGAATTGTCTGCTTTTGACTTTTCAAATGTTTTTATCTTTAAATTTGGATTTTGATTTTATTTTTGACACAAAATGCGCGTTTTTAATTATTTTTTATGAATAAATACAAAAAAATGTACTTATTTTCTTTTCTCTCCAATTTTATTTGAAACATTTTTGGTTAATATAATTATGTTTAGACTGATGTCTTACGTTAAATTGTAAGCAACTACATCAAAATATAAGTTAAATCTTGTTTAGAACCAAATTGCGACAAGATGAAAAAACTCACCCATTTTAAAATGATTTTAAACCAATTTTGTGGATTTAGCTTTTGTCGTCAACGCGTTTCATCTTCTTTTTTTGTTTCTCTTCAAATCCCTCCACAACAAGATTAACGGGACGGTTATTTCGACAGTGTTTTAGTGGGAAAAGAACATGTCGCGGTGAATAAAATCAATTGCCTACATCTTACGCAATTTTTTTGCTTTTAGTATTTGCAATAATGCAAAAAATTTATACGTTCGTATTTTCCAATGGGCTTATTTTACATGTAAAAATGTGTTTTGGCTTTATTGGGAAAAATGAACTTTTTCGTGCTTTTTGTATTTTCAAAACAAAACTAATTCAAAATATTTCAGAAATTTAATGGCGTAAGCACCCGCATAATGTATCGTATTGATCCCGGTCTACGACCAGGCCGGACGGCTGCAGAACTACTAGAAGCCTCAAAGAAGCTCTACGTTCAAACAGAGTTTTTAAAGAAGCACAAAGTAAACCCAAATGCTCCACGAATGTTTAAAACGCCGTCGGAAGAAGAACTGGAAGGAACATATCAAAACTCAGAGGACTTTACGGTTGTTGATATCAAACCATCGCATGGAGTTATGTTTTGTATTGCCTCTCGAAGAAACAATGAAAGCGAAGTCTTACGAAACAGTGTTAACAGTGCGTTCCGACCCTTACGACAAACACCACCCCGACCTCCTAAAAGTGAAAAAGTCCTGCTAACTGTGGACAGAATGAAACTAGATCAATTATCGCGCAAAGAAAACACACAGCTGCCGAACTACGGAGAACTAACATTGAAGCGAATAGCAAAAACAACAGAATATTCTAATAATGCGTCACCAGAAAACGGTTTAATGGTAACCTCAAATAAGGCTTGCATTGATGCTACAACTGCAGAAAATTTTACGAGAAGTAATTACAAACTCAACGCAGAAAGCGACTTTAAAAAACATTCAGATCAAGCAAAATTTTCCGATGCAGATGTACAATCACTTATCAGAACGCCAACTCGACCAAAACCCCCACCACGTTTGTCACTGTTACATAATCAAAAAATAACTAACACAAAAAGCACATTTTTAAATGATTACGAAAACCCTCTTAATTATTTGGAAGAAGAGTCTTGTTTGTATTTACAGGATTCTACACCTGAAGAAAATTCCTGCCAACATCATGACGAGCCACTTGTAAACTATAGTTTAAACCCCAAAAAATTAGCTCTACATAGTCCAAACACGCTAAATACGCAAAAACTTTCAAGTCAAAACAACTCAAAACATTACACTCAAACAGGCCATGTCAACTCACAACGATCTAGTACAACGCCTAGTAACAACTTACATGCTGCTACAGAAGGCCATATTAATTCAAGGCCTGCCCCATTTCCCCGTCGCCGTCAAACAACTACAATCTTTGTTGAAGCGCAAATGCCTGTCATGACGCAAAGCACATATATCGAGCGATCTTCAATCAAAACGGTTGAACGTTCAACTTCAACCAACAATTTGACTAAAAGCACGCCAGATCTAACTGTAGAAATTTCTCCCCCAACCCCATCTGTTACCCCAACTACACAGATAGATTCTTCATACTTGAGCAATGGCACTTCTTCATCACAACAAACATCAATTCGCAGTATAAATTCACCAGATTCCGGAGCATCCAGCTGGAAACCCCCTATTACGGCAAAATTGACCAAAATGTTGGAAGTAAAGCGGCCTTTGAATCAAACAAGGTCATTAATGAAAGAAGTTACTAGTAATAAGTAGGACCTTCTTTATGCACAAATAATTTAAATTTAAACATTTATTAAAAACTTTACAACTTAAATCTAACGAGTGTTGAACGTCGAACAATATATCTTCATATCGAGTTTTTGCAGAGTCCCACAAGTTCCAAGACATGGGTTACCCATTAAAAGAAGTATCTCAGCCAGTTGCCGATCACAACATATAATAACCGCCAATAGTATAATGGGCTCACTAAAAGCTACAGACCCAGACTTTGTTGAACGTGTGCAACGTTGGGAACGCCAAAGAACGGCAGCCAACAATCACTTAGCCGTTGCTACCGTTGACGCTGCTCCTGCGATGACTAGTTCCTGGATGGAACCAAGCAAGAAAGATGTTGAAGAACTTTTCAATTCACAGGTAGGTTTAAGAAAAGCTTTAAAGTTGTGCCTTAATTTATATTTTTTATACCTCTGACATATATATTGTAACAATATTAACGATTTTTACATATTTATAAAAATTAAAAAAAAAATAAAACGGGCTATCGTTAAACTACAAAATATTGGCAGGGCCTTGAAGCTGCTTTACTTTCTCCACAACCATCAACTTCTGTAAGCGACATACCATCAGATTTTACGTCCATCACCGCTCAAAAAGAACGTTTTGAAGAAGAACAGCTTTACGCCGTTACTTGCACAACGCAAGCTCCTGCGGAAAGGCCTGTTTCACTAATGGAAAAAAATGCTCGGGTCTTGCGATGGATTCGCGGCTGCACCATGGCCACAAACTGTTAAAATACAATTTATTTTTATTTTTTTTACAAAGTAGTGACTTCAGTGAAGAAAACAAAAAAAACTGATACTTATTTTTTTTCTTATTTTGGATTTTTTTTTATAAAAAGAAACTTTTAAATTTACTGTTTTTAGTTTTGAGGTTCCCACAAATTTTAAAGTTAAGTTCGAAAGCTTTATGTCCATAATGTTGTAATAATCCTTGTTATTATCAAATAATATACTTACCGGTACACTAAATGTTTTTATCACAAATTTCTGAAAAATAAAGTCTAACAACAGCAGTGTTTTTAAGTTTGGAATTCAATAAAAACCACAGTTTTTATAGATTTGTATAATAATACATATAACATTTTCAAACTTTATTAATATATAAAGTTTCTCTCTCGCCTTCAGTCAATGCCAATAGCTTGTCCCCATGACAGGTAAGACCGCACTAGTTCATAACATCATAAGCGGGATAAACATCCAATTCCGTAAACAACAATTTTTCTCGAAGCGCGGCCCTAATGAAACGTTCTCTCGTTTTTTGGTTGGGGCTAAAAGTATGCGAGAGAGTGTATTTTAGCGTTGTTTTTCGCGCTTTTTCTCTGTTTCTCATGCCCCAAACAATGAACGGAAAAGAAAAAAGTTCACAAATTCAAATGCAGACTCTTCGTAAGAAAAAAACTTCTTTATAAAACACTATTACTGCGGTTTTAATAAAGTTAATATAGTGGTACAAGATAATAAAATTTATTTTTTTAAAGTCAAGATCAAGAGTATTTGAGTCATTTGTAATAATAAATATACATTTATACATTTAAACATCATTTCCCAACATTTACTAAAGTCTGGCGAACTGCGCCCTGAATCAATCGTTCGGCGTAGCCTTCGTCAAGCTTAAAATACGTTTGGACTTGAATATACCGGTCGTGTATACTCAACCTGAAAATAATTTTTGCATTTCCTGGTAGAAAAAAGTAACACGACAGGAAAAATTTTTTAAATAAAAATTTTTGTTATTCAACATGTAAAATTTCACATTAAAAACCTCTACTCACTTCGGGCTTTTTAGTATAACTCCTTTCATCGTAGGCATTACCAAACCCATTTGTAAAATTTCAGTCAACAATTTCTCCAAAAATTCCGCTCCAAACAAACCTAAATCTCCAAAAACTGCTTGATCAACATCAGCAACTTTCGATTCAATAAGTTTAAAATCAAGGTTTTCGATTGACGCGTTGCCAACAATTCTCATCTTATCTATCCACAAATTTACATTAGCTGTTAGTGTTGTGTCTGATTGAATAACCTGAAAATATTTTGTTACTTTTATGTCTTTTTCTTTTACTTTTTCGAAGAATCGCAGATCAATATAACCTAGTAAAAAAGGTAGAAGCAAATTTTTTAAATAACGCCTTGCCTGAACTTTAACTTGGGAAGAATTGGACGGCCTGACGTACATATTCATTCTACCATGCAAACGGAATCTGGCCCTGTTTTCCACAAACACTAATATTGGTGCTTTTTTGGCCGAAAACTTAACTTCTACTTCTCTGTTAGGGTATTCTTCGCCTAATGCACCGAGATATTCACCAATACAAAAACCTTCCGGACAAGTCGTATGGAGAACCTCCTTGAGTTGTGTAGAAGATTCCGGACCTACCGTAACGTCCATGTATCGCTGCTTATACGCGTGATATAACATTGAGTTAGCTATGTAGTCAGTACCAAAAAACTCAACCATGTGGACACCTGTAATAAGCTTTAAAATATTGAATTCTTAACCCATTTTTTATATAAATTAAGATTTCAATGTAAAAAACCACGTAAAGATTTAATACGACTCACCGTGAGGGGGTGGTATATTAACGTTGGGGGGAAAGAATGGAGTTCCTCCAAGACCTTTTCTAAAATTAGCTGTTTCCATTTGTCAACGGCCTCAAATGTTATTGTACAAAAATATTTTTAAAATACAATGAGAAATTATATAGCAAGAATCTTACGCAGAAATTTCTCCCTTCGACTTCATGAGTACTGTGCCTTGGCTTACAAATGGAGCATTTAACAACGCAAAATCGAGCACCAAGTTTTTTTCTCGTAAGTTATTCACGAAGTTAAGAAGTGACAAGTTACGGTGGCCTTTGTTTTGGAAGCTATTTAATGGTCGAGCATCTGACAATCCAAACGTTTGGCCAATGATATCGAGATTATCTTCGTTTATTCGGATTTTTAAAGGCATAGTTGACAGAATTCCATTCATATCGCGGTTAATTACGTTTTCAATCATTTGGCACATTCGTTGTTCTACCATTGGCTTGAAGTTAGCTATCAGAAAAGCTGGAATTTAAGATTATTTTGTAAAATATCAATACACTGTATGTGGATTGACAGTTATTCTTATAATACAACTATTTTATTCTCAACTTACCTTTAAAAGAATTAATGAAGAAATCCGTAATGACACCGGTATTACGAACATTAAGATCTACGTAGCCAATCTGTGAGTTACAGTACGCTGATTGAACTTGTGGTGCTCCCGTCGCGGTCCTTCACTATGCAAATAAACCGTCTAATTTATAATAATCTCAACTTTTAAAAACTTTTTTAATTTGGTAAATATTTTTTAGTAACAAAGAATTACCGTGACAATAGGTTTTAATATCAGTGTTTTACTTAAGCAAACCAAGTATTTGTGCTACAGTAACCTGCTCTTTAGATTCACAATTGTGCTTACAACAATGCCAATACATATATGCAAACTTACCTCAACATACGCACAGATATCGTTAAAGAAATATGGCCTAATAAAGTTTCAAATTCTCCGCTGATCGGTACAGAAGGGAGTAAAAGCGCACCATTTAAACGTGCGTCGAAGTTCCCTGCAGCTCTGTAACTTTTTGTAAAAACAAAGTTACGTAAAATTTACAAACTACAATAGGCGTTTTTTACACATTGTTCGACTTAATATGCAAAAAAAAAATTAAAAAATTTTAGACAAAAAATAACTTTTGTTTAATTATTAATATAAACAATAAATTACCGTAAATGCATTTTCGACATAGTCCATGTAAAAGCGTCAGGACCAACCAGGTCTAAACCATATTCTACTGGCGGCCAATATTTTGATACATAAGCGTTGTAAATAGATACCTATAAAAACGGAATTATCTGTATTTTACGTTTATTCAGTTATTTTTATTAATTAGGCGTTTATAAAACTTTTGTCGAAAGATTATTTTGACAATTTAGATAAACGTGTACTAAAGCCGTAACTCAAGACTACAACTCAAAATAACATTCAAATAACAGTAAAACAATCAAATACGACAAAGGTTCATTACCCGAATTAAACATATACCGAATATGGAAAGTAGACCATATTCGGATTGAAATGGTTCAATTTATGCAAATTAAATCCGATCGGACAAAAATTTGTGTAAAAAAGATATATGCAAGTACCTATAGACCTAGCCTAAAATTTTATCTAAAAACTTACCTGACCAGCCTCAATAGTTTCAGTAATGGTCGGTAGGCTGATTTTAAGTACTTCATCGTTAACCACTTTCATCCCAATTTCACGTAAATATGCTAAACCAGTCGGCATAAGTCTGAGGTATATTCCCGCATTGTTAGGGTTTGTATTTTGCTAAAATGTTTTTTTTGTTATTCCAAAAAGGTAAAAATTTTTTATTAAAAAATTGAAAACTTTTTTGGATTCATAAAATTTACGGAGCAAAAACAGGGAACAATTAAAAAAAAACAAATTAGGCTATTTCAAATCTTAAAATTGGAAATCTTTTTCTGTACTTTTTTTGGCGCTCATCCAGAATAGCCCCCCTACCCATACCATTTCAACCCCCCACCGATGTCAACCAGAACATACCTCCAAAATTCATTTTCAAAAAGCAAATTAAAGATTTCTTTTTTTTCTCTTGCGACTTTTCACATAAATTTCAATTTTGAACTAATGGTTCCATTTTACTTCGCACCCCCATCAATGTAGTTTACACCCCCTACGCTGTAGATAGCACCCCACCCACTGTAGATAGCACCCCCACCCACTGTAGATAGCACCCCCACCCGCCGTAGATCGCACCCCCATCCACTGTAGATAGCACCCCCACCCACTGTAGATCGCACCCCCACCCACTGTAGATCGCACCCCCACCCACTGTAGGTAGCACCCCCACCCACTGTAGATCGCACCCCCACCCACTGTAGATATCACCCCCACCCACTGTAGATCGCGCCCCCACCCACTGTAGATCGCACCCCCACCCACTGTAGATCGCACCCCCACCCACTGTAGATCGCACCCCCACCCACTGTAGATATCACCCCCACCCACTGTAGATCGCACCCCCACCATTGTATTTCACACCCCCAGAAAATGAAATATACAACCGGCACATAAAAAGTCAAAAATTATTCATTTTTTAAATTGACCTTTACGAAATCAATGATAATGCGTATAAAAGGCAGCAGATTTTGCAAATTCTTCATTCTGCTCCTCCGTTCACCGCCCTGGCCAGTCAGTAGACCAGCACTCTCTCGCGCGACCCTCAACCTTCAACTCCGAACATTGCCGATATCGTTCGGCCAAGTCGGGTTGACCTGGAGTTGGAGATTGGGGGTTTCAGTGGGGGTGCGAACTGGCGGTTGGGGGTGTTAAACGGTATGGGGGGGGCTATTCTGGATGAGCCCTCTTTTTTTTTACTAAATCGTTTAAAACTCACAAAAAGGAGAGGTGAAACATCAGTTGCAAAGTTTGGCGATGTCGGAGGAGGCACTTGTGCCCCTATTAAAGCTATTGACCAAATAGCCAATGACCAACGTATGTTGGTCATTGTTTTCGGAGCACTGCAACTAAAATCTCCAAAAATCTAAAAAAATGAAAATTGCAGTCAATGTTTATAAATTATTTATACTTTTATTTTATTAATATATCAAAAGATTTATTACATTACTTCGTTTACAAAGTTCTGAAAATTTATTTAAATAAAAATTACTCTTTAGCAGCGCACTTTTAATGTTTGTACACAAACGTTTTACAATCTTAAGATGGCACGGATCGCTATTCTAGTTTTGATACCCAACTTTTGCCGACCCCTGGTTTAAAAATAAAAAAAATTGAATGCAATAAAATTTTATAAAGCTGTTCATTGAACGTTAGAATCCTTGAAAATACGATCTACAAAAGCATGTACAATAATATTGAAAGCGAAATGGAACAAGTTCAAAAACAAAGAGTTGTTGTAAAAGGAAAGAGATGAAGAAGTTCTTTTTCGGATTAAAAAATGAATGGTGGAATCCTTTCCTGGGTTAGAGCGTGCGCCTTCCTTCTTCTACTGACCTTAATCAAGCCGTCGAATTGGAAAGCGGCATAGCGGATCAGTTAATGCAAATTTCACACGACTTTGCAACATTATGAGACATGTTTAGCAGTTAAAAAATACCAAGTCTGACAAATATTTAGGATCTTATTAACTTTTTATAACAAAAGCACATTCTTTATGCTGTAAAACTTAAAGTAAAAAATCATGTGTGACGATGTCAAAAAACTTGAATAAAACCTTCAAAAGTTTTATTGTACGAGACAAAGATTGTCTTCGCTCTTCCTTGACTCACGATATCTTTAATCCTCCGACGTATAGATTTGATTGTTGCTTAAGCTGACCGCCTATCGTTGTTTTTTGACAAATATTGCTAATTCAGTTTTGTTCGCTTATGAATGGTAGTTTTATACCTATTTTTTGTGTCATCAGCGTCATAAATAGTCAAATTTTGCTGCCCTTTTTTCACCTAGCTCACCATACATAATCATATATTTTTTCCAAAACAATTTAAGATCATGATCCTTTTAAAAATTAAAGTGGAAACCTTTCTATCAAATTTTAACACAAAATCCAGGTATATATATTAACGTGATTTATAATCAAAAATCAAGTTTGAATCCATATTTCAAAAGTTTGCCCGCAATTCTTTAGAGTTTAGAAGCCTCAATTAATTGAGTGATGAGTTAGAAAGTTCCGTGACAACCGGTTGTTGCGCAAATCCACACTCTTTCTTCACACAAAGAATATGCTTAGATAAAAAATTTGAAGATGAGTTTCCTCTGTAAATCAATGTAATTTAGCTTGCAGTGAAAAATATTAAAAATAGTGAAAAGTTATAAGAAATGACCAAAATTTTGAAACAAAATTTATTGCGCAATCTTATAATTTTAATGTGTCATGACACGATGTTATCAATTGTATATTGACACTTTGGAAATAAACAGTGCTTCTTTCAATAATAGTATCCGCTATATCCATAACAGTCTGGGCAATCTAAAAATATTCTAAGAGGAAAGCATTTATCTAGTTAACCCGTTTGGCGCAAAAAAATCTCATTGCCAAATCGAGAGAAGAAAGTGAGGGCAAAAGATGTATGGTCTCTTGATACTTTAAAGAAGTTTGTTATACAAGATTCCATGTTATTTTTTTACAAAAATGCATTTTATGCAAAATTAATTTAAATAAAAGAAACGTAATTTTGCTTTATTTCAAAAACTGTTAGTAAGCTATTTTGAACATACCATAGTAGCCGCAACCACACTGTTGCTGTTGAATTTGAGTTTCTGGTCCAAATTCCATTATGATCAAATCGGAAAATTAGTGAAATTGAAGAACAAGTAGATGCAACCAATTGATAACACTCAACTGATGCTGATCTTCAAACATTCTGTTTATATACAAGTTAAGTAAATGAAAAATTGACCAAAAAATGTAATATTGTGAAAAATGGGCAAACAAAAATGTGTTATTGTAAACATTGATCATACTGTCATTCTTGTTAAAAAATTTAATACATTAAGTCAAATGGAGTTTTATTTTAGTCACCTATTAAAAACATTAACATGTTTGTCCGTTGAGAAAGATAACATGTCGACTTACTCATCTGCCAAACACTTTTTCAGAACAACAAAAACTATTTCTGATGTCATTTTGAGACATTCTTTAGACAGCGTGGGCTAAAGACGTAAGAATCACAACACGCTGTAAACTTGTTAAAAGTTAATTTGTAAAGTGATTTATGTACCTGTTAATCAAAAAAGAATGCCTTGACATCTGTAGTATTTTTAAAATTAAAATATTTAAAAAACGATTTCAAATATTATATTTTCAATTTATTTCTTACAACCGAAGAGCAAAAAAAAGTTAAACTCACACAAAAAATTTTAACGTTATTAAAATCATTTAATGTACATAGCACTTATTATACACCATTTCATTTAGTGAGGAAACAAAAAATGAATATTAGTATAAGTTAGTACAGACGTAAGTTTAACAGCTTAGTACATGTTAAATTAACATGAACTTGACCTGTTTTTTTGTTTCGCTTTTACAGTATTTACAAAGGTTGAAAGTGTAAAATTGTTACCCTTTTTTTGTTTTTACTTAAATAACCATTTTTAACGTTTAATTGGATCAAACATCAATATACCTTTTACTACAGTATTTTTTAATTCGCTGACGCAAATGTGCCTCCGCATTTGATCTATAAACAATTTAATTGTCAATCTGTATACATATATAATAAAAAACAACAGTTAAAAACGAGGTTAAGTATTAAAAAGTTAACCAGAAAACAATAAAAAAAATACAAAATGTAAATTAGATTTTTTGCAATCGAGTATTTAATAAGTGTAAATACCTAAAAACGTAACAGTAAATAGTGTTCTCGGCGGGGGGGGTAGGGTATTTTTTTATCCCCGCAGGTCGGATCTTCCCGCAATTTTCAAAAAAAAAGCCTTTTTTATCCCCCCCCCCTCCTCCGAGAACACTAGTAGCAAAACTCCCACTGTTTTAGGCAAATCATATTGCTTTTATACTTCTGTGCGCTTAAATTTTATGATAAAAGGCAATTCGAACTTCAAAATGAAAAGAAAAAATAATACTAAATTTTCTTTCTGTATATTTTAAAATAATTTTAGATCGCCTTGAATGCCTACAGCTATTATTAGTAACTAAACCCTTTTCACAATTCGAAAGTTTGAATTGGTTGAAATCTTATATAGTTTATTGTTGTAAATTCATTAAATTAATTTTATGGTACATGTAAATAAAAAATATTATAAATTTAATTAATATGTATTAATATTATCATTATATACTGAAGTTATTGAAACTGTGTTTTTGTAAACTTTAAGCCTTAAGCCAATAGCGCTGTAGCTTGACACCAATTTTTTTCGTTACTGCTAGTACAATAACCGTCACCGTTGGCAACTACTGCATGATCACCTTTTGGCCAACAAACTACACTAAATTTTGCACCAAATCGTTTGTACAATGAACCCTGGATGGCGTATGCATTGGAAGTGGGATCAGCATTCATGTTTTGGTCCATGTATGGTTGCCACTCAATTTGTGGACAAGGATTCTTTTCTTCTGTGTGAATAGATGGCACTATCAATTCTGTTTTTGGACCATCCTAAAAGTCGTTTCGTAAAGAAAAGTACGATAAACTAACAAGGAAAGTATCCAACCTGCAACTTTCAGAATTAGCTCAAAATTTTTATACGGATTGCTTGTAGTACCAATAGCACGTATAAAAAATCTTAACTTGCGGTTTGAAGTTTTAGAATTAATATATTCAAATTTTCCGCCAATTTGGAAAACTTGGCATTACGTTGCAAGCACTTTTTTTGCTGTTCCAGATAAGATTAGCTTCCAAATTTAAAATAGCCGGTCATATGAATCTTTTCTATCACTATATTAAAGAAAAATAATTAAAAGTCAATAAATGAGAAAGTTAAAAGCTAGAAATACTAGGCCAACTTGGCGAAACGCAATTTTTCACCTCCGTTTTCTCAAGTCTGGTCGCAAAACGTAACTTAGAATTTTGCATAAGATCTTACATTTAAATGATCTTTCAATAAAAAAAAGTTGAGCGAAATCTGAGCGTTGCAAGTCGAGCACCTTCCTTGTAAATTAAAAAAAAAATTTTTAACAAAAAATCTATTTTTTAAGACACTCACATTCAATTTTATGTCCTTACGAATCAAAAAAGCATAAAGCCCTAATTTCGAAAGTTAAGGTTAAGATGAATGAATATACTTACAATTTCTCTTTTTTTCCTACCACATCCGCAAGTCGGTGGTGGAGCACAACATCCACCGCCACCGCCTCCAAAAAGACCAGCACAAGCATTTGTTTCTCGAATAACTACTAATAAAGTTACAACTATCATTAGACAATATGTTTTTGTAGACATTTTTGCAAAAAATGCTGAGCGTAAAAATTCACATAAGTTTTATGTTTCATTCTTTATATACCCGTATTTAATCATGCAGCATTGTTCTCACAATTAAAAGGCGGAGAGATCTTCAAGCATTTTCAAACATACCTCGCGTTTTTAGTGCTTAGGAGATCCTGGTTTTTTGATGTTCGGATCGAAGCGGCAGTAAAGATGCCCTAACTATTCTAATTGTCTACCAAATCTCTTCTTAAGCAGAAGAAATTACTACCGCTTTTTTTATACGATGAAATTACTTCTTTCGGCATGAATTATAAGTTTATGTGGTTTTCCGTTAGCTTCTTTTGATTGAAAATATTATTACCGTCGCGAATATAATAGAAACAATTACTGCAACGAAATAGAAGGAAAGCTTTAAAGAATACACTGAAAATGACGCCTGTTTTTCAAGTGCTACTACAAACAATAATTAGAAACTTTAAAAACAACCAAACTCTGAAGTGAACACAAAAAAAACAGCTTAAAAACTTAGCCAAAAGAGCATTGATATATTGCAATCGGGCCGGGCCTGAAAACTAAGTCTGGGTCCAAAAAAAATTAAAGCTCTTGTTTTAAATCCCATTTATGTCTTTTGACTGTTTAGGATAAAACACTCAATAAATGATATAAAAAACAATAAAAAGCCAAGTTTTTTTATTTTTTTATGTTTTAAACGGACTGGGCCAGGCCTGGCATAAAACTATTTTGACCGGGTCGGTCTAGAAAAAATAAAAAATGTCCTAAACTACAAGTTGAGCCCGCGCTTGGGCCGGGCCTGGGAAGTGGAATCGGCCCGTTTGTCACCCCTATTTTTTGGCAATTTTAAAGAAATTTTATAAAACGAAAGGTAAGAATGGCTAGTGCACTACGCATTCAGAATTATCAATTTTTTTCTTTTGTTTCACATTGCACTGTGTTTTCATACCTAAATATTAAAATAAACTAAAAATAATTTAATTTAAGAGTACAAATTTACTAAAATGATTATTAGCCTGAAATTATTTTAAAATAAAACAGAAGTGTCATTTGACGCGCATAAACGTCACTTGGCCTTTAATTATTACAAACTTAAAGCGGAGATTAGAATTACAGCTTTAAACGTAGATGAGCAGACAAAAGATTTGTACAACTACTGATGAGAACAAAACTGTGTTTCTTCTTCTTGACAAATGTATTGCAATATTATTGTTATGAAATTGTTAACATGTTTCGTTGGATTAACCCAAAAACAGACAGTTTAAATTTTACGTCAATTGATGTTTAAGCCATAAATAATATATTAACTATGACATTAATACCGTATTATCTATTTGTAATCAACAATCACATCATAAACGTTGTTTCTGCAACTTATTGTACGGTTTATTAATATGATAAAATTTTAAAAAATGAAGAAATACCTAACGTTGTCATTAAATTGATTAATATGCAAAAACGTACGTTTTTAGGCAAGTATTTATACGTGTATGCATAAAAAATGCTATTCGGTTACAAAAAAGCTAATTTGCATATCGGTTTAAATCCGCCTTTTGTCGTACATTTGTCTTTTTTGTGCCATATGTCTGAGTTCTAAAACTTATAAATTTGTAGTGGAGCGATTATTTTCATATTTATAAAATAATTTTTTTTTAATTAAAAATTTATTCAATAAAACCAAATAAAGTCGAAGCTCTTTAGTGTGTTGTTCAAAAGACTGAATCAAAGTGTCATTCTAACGAAGGTATCGCATTATTCTGGTATTTTTGATAAGAATTCTATGAAGACAGGCGGTCAGAAAGCTGTACTTGTAAAGAAGGGGTCATACCATCTAGAGTCATAATTAAGAAGTTTCACTGTGAATTGATTTAATTAATTATTTTTGATATAAACCGTGTAGCATGCAAATATTACAATATCATAGAATTGCTATGCTCAAAAAATGATTATACAGTTGAAAGGTTGCGTACATAACATTATTTATTGCAGCACTCCAAAATAAAATACTTGTTTTTGTTAAACTGGCTTATTTATTATTATATCCGGCTAAAGCGATTCCGTTGAGCTTTTTACATATGTATATCTGCGCTACGCATGTCGATACTATTAAGATCTATGCATTTTTTGTTTTATATATTTTTAAATATATTGTTAAAGAAAAATTTATTTTTTTTGCGAAAGACACAAAACCGTTTGATCTATTTAAAAATGATTCATCTACAATTCTAGTAAATGACCTTATATGATTAACCGTGTCTTTTTTAACGTTTTTGTGATGTATAATCCCTCCGTCATCATAATATGCTAGATGTATCCGATTTCGGCATGTTGTTATAATACATTAACAATATCTGTATCTTGAAAGTTTATTCCATGTGCTTTATTTTTTAGTATTTTGTTTTTACGTTTCTTATGTGTTATTTTGATATTTTTAAGATTTTTTAATGTGTCTATGTATAATCACTATTGTAACATAACATAACATTTCTTTTATTTTTTTTTATTTTGATGAAAGACTTTTTTGTCTGTTTGGCAGTTGCTGTTTTATTTAGACATGAGAAACGGGCCGGGCCTAAATTTTTTTACGTGGAAAGGGGCCGGGCCCGGCTCATTTTTCAGGCCCGGCCCATTTCTCATGTCTAGTTTTATTAATACACTTACTAAAACAAACAAAAAATATTAATTTTTAAAATATTAAATAATTTTTTTTTGTTTTAAAGGGTTATTTTTTTAAATGATCGTGTATTACGTTATTTAATAACTATTAAAATGATAAGTTACTGTTGTTGTTGCGATTTCAATTTACGTAGTTATAAAGCGACAGAGAAAGTAAATAGTTATGATTGGAGGCCACAAAATCTCTAAGCGAGTGTAATTGCTGTTTTATTAATTTTTATTTTTAAGATGTTTAAAAACGTTACATTTTTTGGTAAAGATTAATTTATTTTACAAAACGTAAAAAAGGACGTACCTTTAGAAAAGGCGACAAAAATGAAGCTTTTTAGCGGCCTTACAGAAAGCATAAAAAGAGAAAATAATAAAAAAACTTAAATAACCTATCAAAACTGATCATCGTTCAATTAAACTTCTATTTTTTAATTAAAATTTTATTATTACGAATTCACAGGGTTTTATAACATATTTGACACCCGGCGATAACTATCAATTTACTGTTATATATAATTAAGCTTCTTCTCAAAAATGGCTGACGTATTCTGAATGTGCTTATTTTTAGGTAATGCTGTCAGCAGGGGCGGGCGGGGACTTTTGGCCTGGGGGCGGGGGTCGAAAAAATCGGCACAGGTATTATACATGCTACCTGTGCTGATTTATTGCAAAAAAATTTTTTTTCCAAATATCCACAGAGGGGACCACCTTCAACTTTTTTCGAAAATTTTTTTCTGGGGGAGGGGAGGGGGTTCCCCCTTCCCGACCGCCTTCCCCCCCCCCTCCCCCCCCCCGCCCCTATTACAAATAAATGATGTCATGATTGTATACTTTTTCCAACTTTGTAATCTGTGTTCAAATGTCATTTAACTAGTTAATCTGTTTATCTTAATTAAAATAAAAGACTTAATCACAACATACACTTTACTCTTTAAGGCGTCGTTGTTTTTCTGTTTGTTTCTTAACAGATTTTTAAATTGCTTGACTATAAAATTTAAAACGTTAATTAATTAAGTATATATTCATTATTATTAAAAGTTTACAAAGTTAATGTAGTTCCAAAATTATAATGCTAGTTTAACAGTTATTTAAAACTTTATTTAAAACATAGTGTAGAACTATATAATACTTGTGCTAATTTTTAAAACATTGCATAAATTTATTAAAATACACTTTTTGCATTAATTATAGTTCAAATTCACTATAAAACGTGTCGCTTATGTTAATTACTTTTAAATATCGGCTTTTACGCGCGTGGAATTTTTAACTCATTAAGTTTACTTGTGTAACAGAAATTTTCGACACGTGTGAAGTTGTTTCGTGTAATTAATTACAAAACGGTATGACTAACAGTCCTCAGATAATTGTTTTTTTTCGGTTAGCAGTTTTATGTTTGGGAAAAATAACACCTCGTCTGCCTGGCTTATTATTAAATAGTGCATCAAACAAATTTTTATTTTTTAACAGGGTACGGTTACATAGATTTTTAAATACTGGTTATTTTAACATAGTCAAAAATTTGGTTCGCATTTTTTTCGTTTTTTGATACATGTGCGACGGGTGGTAATTAAAACATTCGTACATCTCATTATTAGTATAGCCAGTGTTTTGCCCGGCTGGTCCGAAGCGTTTTTCACCGGTCCGGTCCGGCCATTTTTCGGGTCCGGTCCGGTCCAGACTTCAAACTTTTGGGTCCGATCCGGTCCGGTCCGCAAAAAAAATTTTTTTTTTATTTTTAAAAAAAGCAAGAGGCGCTAAAACTGCTTTCTTTTTTGCTTAAACTTTTTAAAAATATATTTTATTTACAATTTCTAAAACAGTTTTATAAAAATAAAAAAAAATTTTCTTCCGGACCGGTCCGGAGCTTTTCTTTCGGTCCGGGTCTACTGGTTTTTGGGTCCGGTCCGCTAAAATTTTTATTTCGGTCCGTCCGGTCCAGACCGGATCCGTCCTCGGACCGGACCGGTCCGAAAAACACTGAGTATAGCATTTACTATATGAGGAAAAAAACAAAGCATGAATCAGTTTTGCCACACTTTCATGTTGATCGCTTTCTCGTTAATAGTGCACTTGTGTTTATTTTCTAAATTGTTAAGGAGATTGTGAACAAGTGTATCAAAATCTTTTAGCTAGCTGTTCATATGTTTTAATTTTAACTATGGATAACAATAAAATAAAATTTTAAATAGAATAACGTTTTTAGTTTGACGATGACGCAAGACCCTACGTACTTAAATTGTACAATTCAAACTAAGTGTAACAATGTAGGTTAAAATAAACGCAACATTTTTTTATCTTAACTTTTAAAACATTTTTTAAGAAAATTTTTTTTGTTTTACAACTCTATTGATAGGCTTACTGTTTTCTAGAGCTAGTTTTATTCACTAGTCATGCCAGAGTATATTCTTGTTAAAGGTAATTGTGAGTTATGTCTTTTAATTAAAACTTTAAAACTCACTAAAGGAAGTATGACTTGAAATAACTATAACTATTGACGTGAAAGATGACTGTGCTTATAACGTTTTTTTTGTGATACGTTGTATCGGTAATACGATTTCAAAAACGTTCGTACACTCGCACACAACTCTTCTGATGACTGAAACGTTTTATAAGATCAGTATATGTAAGGTCTGCAGCAAAGTACTAAAACGCGATTACCAGAGAGAGCAAAAAAATACGTTTTGGATTTTGCTATTCCTAAAATAGTTGATCTTCTGCCAATTTTAGACTTGCACTTTATGAATATAGCTTGTTGGTGGTTAGTACTATACTGTTTTTAACGTTAATTTCAACTGTGGTGGGAGAAAATGGGCGGAACCAAAAAATAAAACGGTGTTGTTAATCTCGAACAGATTACGTATATCAACTTGGTAATGGTCACCCATTTTAATGTACACGTTTATAAAACACATCAACTTTTGAACTTATATTAATTTCAGTTTTTTTCTTAATTATAAACAATATTCTCAAAAAATTGAAAAATGGGTAAGCTTGGAGCGTAATTTTCGTTTTTTAAAGTTCTTATAGTAGACGGCTGAATCATAAACCCCTTTTTTGGTCGTTTTATTGTACGGCCCTAGTATCAATGTATAATCACAATGATTTCCTTGTACGACTAATCATATATTTAATTTTTATAAAGCTAGTAATTGAACTGTAAACTAAAATTATGTTACCTGTATCATTTTTGACATTAGTTGAGTTAACATTTATTCAGTAAGTCTACTATAATCTGTCTAATGCCTTTATTTTCAGTATGAAACGATACATTCTGTTTTCAAATAAAGAAGGCTACGTGTATTTCGACCTATTTCTGCGCTTTATTTTTATTTTCTCCTTGCTAAGAAATAAATTTTTTGAAGCTTTTAAAAGTTAAAAATTGTAATTTTTTTGCACAAGAAAGGGAATAACGTCTGATTTTAAACACATAGTAAATAATCTTATCTTTTTTTAGCAAAAACAACGTTTTTACTTTTATTGTAATTGTCCAAGTACGCAGAATACAAATAATTTATTATGACATTTCACTGTTATTTATGACACGATTTACAAAAGATATTCAACAATAACGTAACGTGTGCCGTAAACAAGGCGGCTACAATACGTGTTCTGCGTGCATACGTAATTTACGAAAAAAATATGTGAAAAATTATAATTTAATTGTCAATTATTTATTGAAAATTATTTTTTTACTATGAATAAAATTTTATATACTTATCTAATTTATTTCAGGACTTCTCATTTTTGGTAGATTTTTAAAATTCTCTTGTTGTTTCACTTTACATTTACACACAGACGCTGATGAAGCTAAAATTGTAAGGTTTTAATTTTTTAGTTTGAAAAAATTTGTTGTTTTTTTTATTTTACAGAAAAATTTTATACTTTTTTACATTCATTAGTTGTTTAGAACATTTTCATTTGCATCCTTGACTCTGTTGTTAACCATTTTTCTCACACAATCAAATACAGCCACCGCCAATTTTCGACTTTGTGGATTCAAACTCACCACCACGTTACAGCATCTTTGCAAGCACCAAACGTGCGGCGGGTATCAAGTAGAGACGCGAAAAAGTGAGTTTATGGTTTGCGTTAGAATAAAATGAATGCATGAGGATATACCCCGACTAGTTTTATACCCTGTGTAGTTTCTACCCTAACTCTTATATACCCAATCATAAATAGATAAATAAATTTTTATTTCTTATTTTTAGGGTCAATTGCAACTTTTTTGGACGAAATATCAACAGCACAAGATTTATTAAGACAAAACGACCATTATTCACCTAAACGACCGTTCGAGTCCTCACATCCATTATTAAAAAATCTGCGGATACGAAAGCGGGCCGGCATCGCGACCGAGTGTTGTGAAAAACGCTGTAATTTAGCCTACTTACGAACATATTGTTGCGCGGGATTCGAAGCCTAACGCTGCACTTGTTTAATTTATTTATTTCTAAAAGTATCTCATTCTTTTGGTTAATTAATAAACCAGACCAGCGGTCTGAATGTATTATTTTTACTTTATTGTAAGGTCAAATGTGTTTTATTAAAAAAGAAAAAGTAAAAATTATTAAAACAGGCTCGACCTTACAATTTATTAGGCGCTCACGTGCCAGCTTCTAATGGCAAAATTTATGAATCCTGACACTATTTTGAGTATGATACGCCTTAATTTATTTTTATTTTAAAATTTTCTTTACTTTCAAGCTTTTTTCCATATCTTTAAACTTTTCTTTAGCATTTAACTTTTTTCTTAAACCTAAATTTATTACCAAACAACCTTATTTACATTTGAAAAGTCTTAAAATTTTAGAAATTTTCCTTTGATACACTAGTATAAAAGCTTTAGATTAACATACACTTCTAAACTTGTAAGCGTTGTCTGAAAAGTTCAAAACACGTCTTGAAACACAACACAAAGCCAAACTTGTCAAATTGGCTAAAAACACGAATATTTAAAATTTTAAACTCAAAAGCGTGAGGTGAAACTTTTTATGTGTACTATTGGTAGCACAAAGAATACACATAAAAATTTTGAGCGGGGCGACTTGGCCACTTTCCTTGTTAGTGAACTCAGCTTGGCCCCATCACCTTCAGTTTCACACGCAAACGATCATCAAATTCACACAAGTATGTATTTTGTACCCTTTTATTTTTTCTCGTCCCGTTCTCCTTACTAGGGAATTGCACCAAATATCCCTCCGTTTTTTGAACGAGACCTATATAGGATGAAAGAGCATAAAAAGTTACCGAGAAAACTGTTTTCAAAAACTGCTAAATGAATTCGGCTAGCGAGATATTAGCGATTAAAGGATTTACATAGGGTTTCCATTTGATCCTTATCAGTTGTCTTGAGCAAAAGGGATTGATGCTTCTATCCAGTGTGGTCGAGTGGTTAACAAGTTAGTCTGGGGTGCAGAAGGGGAAGTTCGAATCCCATCAATTTCATTTTGGCGCCCAGCCATACTGACAAGAAGTTTTGGCTAGCCAAACAATGTTTTGATTAAAAAAAATATTTTTTAAGTTGTATTTTTTTGTTTTTAGACACTTGTAGAAAAAAATATTTATTAAAAAATGTCATTTTTTAAACTTTAAAGCTATACCTTGTAAACATATAAAGCATACTGTAACTCGCTAGCCAAGTCCATTTAGCAGTTTTTGAAAACAGTTTTCCTGATAACTTTTCATGCTCTTTCATCCTATATCTCGTTCAAAAAGCCGAGGGATATTTGTTGCAATTCCCTAGTTAGTAGAAATTGAGTGAACGGAATAAATAAATAAAAAATAAAACTCAAAATAAAGTCGGAATTCATACTTAAATATCCTCTAGAAACATAAAAAAACTTAAAAAGCGTTATTCTTTTTTCCAACGCAAGATACAGATTGAGACGTGAAGGAGATGACGAGGGTTTGTTGAAGACCGTCAGTGTAATAGCTGTTCCCAATGGGGCATCTAGGTGATCTTGTTTCTCTAACTTCCTCAAAATAATTGATAATCGTCCGCTTTGTACCAAAAGTTTTGATGTATCATAGTATTTTTTCAATGCCGCTTTCTTTTTTCATTTTTTAAAAAATTTTCTCACCGAGTTTTTTAGGAGAGCAAAGACCCTTATTTTTTTATTTTCTAAAAATACCAGTTTTATGACTTAAAAAAAAAAGTTTCTAAAATTTACAAATAAAAATTTATTTAGAATTCATTAGTAAGTGAAAAATATCGGTTTAGATTAATAATGTCGACGATAGTCTTTTACTTCCTTTTCAACATCAGTTTTAGCCATCTGCTCGTTATTGACGTTTTCAGTCATGCGGTTGGTACTACGATCACTTGAAATATTTAGGGGATCGCTTGCAGCCCCCTCTTTTTGAGCACGGTACAACTCGCGGTACATTTTTTCGAGGCCAATGTCAGTCCTATAGACGTCAAAAGTTATGTTTTACTAGGAAGAAGTATGAACATGTTAAGTAAGGCGCTAAATTTGTTAAAAGTCGGAAAAAATCCGTTCAAAAGAAATACAAACCCAAAATTTCGACTAAACTTTCCAGTATAACCCTCTTTTATACCTTACATTTAAAAAATAATGCATATAAAAATTTACGCTATGTAAAGCAAACCCCTTAATCTTAGCAAAAAACGCTCATTACTATAGTCATTACACATACGCACAACTTAAAACTTACATCTTTAGGCTATAATTATGTTAATTGCACAAAGAATATTAACGCTCACTGCCACGTATTTATTGTAAATCGTAACTTCGAATGCCTTCAAAATAAGAATATTATGTTTAGATATTCTAAGCAGTCTTAAAAAATTAACTTTTTAACCGTTAACAAATCACAGAAACTGATCAAAATCATCAATTTCTGCTGTTTTATAAGTGCATATGACTTTTGTTTTCGCTGATTCTTGCAAAATCTCAAAAAAAGTTATAAACAAAAACAGCTTTCGAAAATTCGGAAAGATACGTTTCCCGCCTAATTATGAAAGAAGAAGACAGAAACAACCCAATTGTAAAAACATTTTTCTAAAATAAAATATGCCTTTTTGGTCAAAAAGTTTTTAGAATTTCGCACCCAGGTTGAAAATAACGAAAAACTTTCCATCATACAGTGAAACCTCGCTAATAAGAATTCGCTTACAACGAAACCCCTGTTATAACGATTTTTTTGAAGCCCCTAAGAAATTTTGCACTGATTCTTATTAAATAAACGAACTCCAGATATAACAAACCCCCGCTACAGCTAACGGAGCTCACAGTATTTCAAGATAAAGAAAAAATTATGGTATTTAACTGCATTTTACTTGTATCCAGAGCCGGGCGCGAGGGGGGGGGCGGGGGGGGACCCCCCCCCCCCCCAGAAAAAAATTTTCGAAAAAAAATTTGAAAGTGGTCCCCCCTGTGGATTTTTTGGAAAAAAATTTTCGCAAAAAATGGGCACAGGTAGCTTGTATAATACCTGTGCCGATTTTTTGGACCCCTCCCCCCAGACCAAAAGTCCCCGCCCGGCCCTGCTTTTATCAACAAAAAATTATTAAAAGTAAAAAAACGGCAATGTTATAAGCTTGAAACACAATGCCAATTTGGCGAGAAATTCAAAACTTTATTTTTTGATCTCGATTTTCTCGAGATTGACTAAAAAGCGTAATTTAGTACGCTGCTGAATATCTTATATTTACATGATCTTACAATATAAAAAGTTTGAAGCCAATCAGAGCGGCGCAGGTTTCCTTTTATTAATAAATAAACACTTTTATTACATTTATATTAACTAATTTAAGAAACTGTTACAGTTTCCATATAAATTATCAAAAATGTGTCTTTCAGAAAAGCGCAAATTTTTTGTCGCCCTTTTTAAAGAAAAAAGTTTAATCAAAGCAAGGTTTAATCATCAAAGAAACGAATTGAATTATCGAGAAAGGTGTGGTCAGCATTGGGTTTGGGTTTGCTCTAACTGCTTTTTTATTTAAATGATTTATTTTGGCGCCAAATTAAATTTTTTTTTGATTTTGTAAGTAAAAACGTTGGCACGGCACATTGTGCTTGGCAGACCTTATAGAAGAAGTTAAAAAAAAGGGTATAATTTTGTAAAGTTTTACAAGGAAACAGTGAAAATTTTGGGAAAGAATCAGTCTAATTTTAAATTTGACAGGGAAAGTATCTTACCTGCCCCGGCCCAGAATTGGCTCAAAAATTTTTTATGAGTTCTTGGTACCGCCAGTAATATACAAAAAAAATTTTAGCTTGCGCTTTTGAGCTTTAAATTTAAATTATTTGGGTTTCCCGCTAATTTGGCAATGTTCGCATTGTGTTTCAAGCACTTTTTTCGGCTTTCCAGACATGATACGCTTACAAATTTAAAACTGTAGGTTCATTTAAAGGTTTTCTACTAGTACATCAATGAAAAATTTTTAAAAGTAAAAAAAATGGCAAAGTTATAAGTTTGAAACATAATGCCAATTTGGCGGAAAATTCAAAGACTAATTTTTTGCTCTCGATTTTCTCGAGATTTAATAGAAAGCGCGGTTTAGTACTTTGCTGAAGGTCTTATATTTACATCTATATAAAAAATTTGAAGTCAATCAGAGCGGGCATGTCAGGTACTTTCCTTGTGAGAAAACCATTATAAATTTTTTATTATTTTTTTAAAACGCATGTAATATTATACGTGAACTGGCACATTACGATTTTTTCAGCAAAATAACTGCACTTTTTACAGAAAGGTTATTAAAGAAAAAATGTATAATAAATGATGACCTATAATTTTTTCCGTGTAGCATTTGTTTTGCCGTATTTTTGTTTATCAGTTCAGGGTTCTCATTATAAAGTTGGTGATCTTAAAATTAGTTGCCCTAATGGTAAGTTTTATTCTTAAAACTAAAAAATTTAAATAGTAATCTTTTTATTTTTATTTTATAAAATTTCAGCAGATTAAAATTACCTGTATTCAGGATCGGGCGCCAAGGGGGTGGGGTGGGGTATACGAGAGATCCCCGACTTAGAAACTTAGAATTTTTTAAAAGTTGTTTGATATGGCCTCTCAGTTGAAGTTGTCAACAGGCCAAATTCACCCGTCCTGTTCTGACTGTACCTTATATTATTGCATTATTATAATTAAATGTTACAGATGATTGGGTAAGTGTGGGTACCAACTGCTTTTACCATTCTTCTAAAGCATATGATGCGCATAGTGGTCAAGTGTTTTGTCAAAAATTGTTTGGTCAAAGGTATGTTACTACGACGCTTTAGAAAATAACGTGTTGGTTTTATTTTATCTGAATAGCTTTATAATATCTTAAATATAAACTTGATTACATTATATTAGAGAATTAGGACATAATCTATCACTTAATAAATTCTGAACTTTCAAAAACGTTTCCAGCCTTGCAACACAGTCACTTTTACATACAGCAAATTTTTATCAATTGTCAGAACTAGCACAACATATACCAGATGCCACTTTTTGGACTTCGTTTTACATTAATGTAGCGGTAAACGACAAAATTGACTCGCATGATGCTTTTGAAAAAATTAGAGTGCATTCTCGTTCATTAATCAACATTTCAACTCCATTAATTAATCCAAATTGGGCCAAGTTACAACCAAATCTCCTAAAAGGTAAAACTTGGCATAACGGCACGTTATGCGTGGCATTTAATGCAAACAAAACAGATATTCAAAATTATGGATGGAGTTTAAAACAATGCAATGAGTTGTTTGGTGTAATTTGTCAAACTTTTGGATGTTTAAATTGTAAGTTTAAGAAAATTTAACATCATTATTTATTCTTGTATATAAGCTTACATAAACTTAGACAAAGACAAGAAATTGAAAACATAAATTTTATCCATACTCAATTTTGCAGCTTAGTTTTAAGTTTTAACAAAAAAGATGAACTTTTTATAGATACAAATGGTCCAAGCGAATTTAGATGTACTGATAACAGTGCTTGTATACCAAAGGCACATATGTGTGATCATGTGCAAGATTGTTTAGATAATAGCGATGAGAATTGTGCACCAGAAACTGAAAATTGCAACAACTTTCAATACCAAGCTATCAAAAACGGCAGAATAAAGATAGACAAAGTCGTAAATCGAGATATAAGTCATTGCAATTGGCATATCGAGTTCGCTGACGCTGACAATGTTGTTATAAATGTGAGTTTCATTATTTCATCAAAATTTTTATAAATTAGTTAATGCAGTCGTCATGAATTTTTTTGAAACTTTAGCTATTAACATTGGGTATGTCATCATCATACATAATAATTACTGAAGTGGAAAGCGGAATTGTACATCAGCTTGACAATAATAAAACACAAATAACAGTACCAGCAAACGTTTTCATTGCTTATAACGGCGAAGCCACTCATAATGGCATTGAAATTCGTTACCACGCTGAAGGTTAGTTTTGAAAACCTTAAGTTACGTTGTCCTTACTTTTTAAATTTACTTTTAAAACGTTAATTTTATTATAACTTAGGAAACTCTATATGTAATAAAACCTTCGTTTCCTGGGATGGTTCATTTTCTCCACCTATGCAAACGGCCCATCCCAATTTGTATCGTACGTCAACGAATTGTGAATGGACTATTGCTAACACGGAACAAAAGCCGTTGGCAATTAAAATCCCGCGGTTTTGGCTAGCAAAGACTGATTATTTGTTAATATACGAATTCACCAACAATATAGCTAGTCTTCTTGGAAATTTTACAAAATATCAACCTCCGCCAGTAGCATTTGTTACAATGCAACAGAACCTTTTGTTTCGATTTAGAACCGTCAAAAACACCGTTGGAGCTGACGGGTTTACTGTGTTTTTTGAGCGAAGTGAGTCATAAACGGTATTTTTTTTTAATTTTAAAAACCTTATTTTATAGTTTATTTTTTTTAACTTATTGTTTTTTTATTTGTAATTTCAAAAATTTAGAATGTTTGGAAGTGACTGTAGAAACAACGCATGGTTATATTCAGTCGACTAATTTTAACAAAGTATTTCCATTTGTTGCATTTGAACAAACTTATCGTATTGTAGTACCGTGCAAACCTTATACAAAATGTTCAACGCAGTTGTTTTTTGATCATTTAAACATTACAAATTTTGATGATATTACAGTAAGTAATTACTGTCAAACTAGTATATTGTAAAAATTTAGGTAAAATCAGGAAATAAAACGCAAATTTTATCGGGAAGCACGATACCTATGCCTTTTCGTGCCGAGGCCCCAATTATTGAGATTGGGATGATTGCAATGACTGATAAATTTTCAGCCAAAATCACCTTTTCCGTTGGTGAGTAGTTTGTAATAATATTGTATTATATTAGGTTGGCCAATTATAAATTTTGGTTCCGTAGTTTTCTGAAGTTTATTATAAAAAAGTTAACAAAAATAATTAGGACAAAATATATTATAATAAACTTCAGAAAATTTGGAACCGAAATCCATAACTGGCCAACCTAATAGTTGCTATAAACTTTTTAAAAATTAATTTTTCAAAAGTTGTTTAGAAAGGAATATTTTTAGATTGTGAACTTCCGACATCTAATAGAATACGATTAATAAATCCTAGTACAACCTCGTATCGTAGTATTGTATCATTTGGTTGTACGTACGATAAAAATTGGCATTTGTTTAATGCAACATGTGGTGCTGGTGGAATATGGTCGGATATTCCAAATATTTGTACACAACAGCCAAAAGGTAAGAATATTAAGTTGTGATAACATTAAAAGTATAGTACTAAAATCTTTTAAAGTTTAGTTGAAAAGCATTGTCCAGTTGGTATTATTGAAAAAGGCCGAGTTGTTGAATTAAATCGCGCCAAACATTTCATGAAATACGAATGTAATTTTGGCAGTAAAGCCGACGAAAACACAACAGTCGTATGTCAAGATGGGAACTGGAATTCAAAGCCTCATTGCACTTGTAAGTTCTGTTGTTTATTACCATTTTTAAGTTTCAGTTTTAAACTTTAAAGAATTATTTATTTCATTTGTAAGATGCGTAAGCTGTAAAACTAGTAAAACTCAACAAACCGATGTCAATTATCTACATTATCCTGGTTATTTTCGATTTATTAGATTGAGAAACTCTTCGCGAGTTTTGGGGTCGTCGCGGAATACGCCCAGCATGCACGATGTTGCGGTTGTTGCGTTAATTTTTTGCACTCCACGCATAACCATGCACATATGGCTAAAATTTAAAATTAAAATAATTGAACTTATGGCCGCGTCTACAGTTTAAAGACCGACCCGATATGTTTTTTGCGGGTTAAAGAAAATTATGTTTTTATGACTTAATTTAAAAAAATATATACAATGTAAAAATTTGTAAAAAAAGTTTAATTACCTTGCTTCGACCACTACGGCTACACCTGAAGGTTGAACGGCTTGTAAAACTGCTTGGGCAATTTGTTTAGTCAAACGTTCTTGTACTAAAATATCAATTGTTACAGTTTTTTGCATGGGTTATAAAGGAAATTTCTATTTTTTATACAAAGCTATTTATCTTACCTTGCAATCTTCTACTGAACATTTCCACGATTCTCGCAAATTTGCTTAATCCTAAAACTTTCTTATTTGGTAAGTACCCAATATGTACTTTTCCAATAAACGGTACCAAATGGTGTTCACACATACTGAACATTTCGATGTCTTTTACAATTACCATTTCATCATGATCCTCATCAAAAACAGCTTCGTTCAGAATATCATCCAGATTTTGTTCGTAGCCCATTGTGAAGTACAACATAGCTTTGGCAGCACGTTGCGGTGTACGAAGCAAGCCTTCACGACTCACGTCTTCGCCAACGTGGCGGATTATTGACCTGTACGAGTTCATCATTTCTTCTTCTTGTTTTGTTGGAGAATTCTTCTTAGATTTAAAGACGGTTACGGTTTGAGGAGACAGAGTCAAGCCTTGCTTTTCATTGTTCATATCTTCGGATGCTGAGGACGATGCCACAACGCCACTGCTGCTTACACGGTCCATCAGAAAAATCTAAAAAAATCTTCTTATTACAAAAAACTTTATAAATCTTTAGGCCTACTTTTTTCTTTACTTGTTGTAAAATTAGCACAAAAACTGACAGTAAAATTTTATATATACAATACTTAAGGCCTAACGCAAAAACGAAACAAACAGAAAAAAATATTTTCAGACTGTTTAATTATAAAATCAAGGAAAAAAGTACATGAAGTAATCAAACAATAGTTTTACTTGTGTTTTATTTTACACGTTTTAAGCTAAATACTTCTCGTGTTATTGCTTATAGAAAACTCTTGTATGATGAGTGCGAGAAACACGTTTCACTCCTTATTTGAATATTCTAGTTTCCGGTGACTAAATCCCACGTAAATTGTCGTTTGCTCACGCCAATATCGGAAAAAGTGGTAGGTGGGCAGTTTTCAGTAATGTGGCAAAACTCATGAGCAGAGTATCTCAGTAACAGTTAACGTAATCTCAAGAAAGCCCAATTATATCTTTTTTTATAAAAAGTTACAAAAATGCAACATTATATAAAACCGGGCAAAGTATATTTTAATAATGTTTTTTAATTTTATTAAGTAAAAGTTATCAAGAGTTTCTTCAACAAAATTTTTTTTCCATTGATAAAATACAGTACATAAAACAGCAAAAAAAATTTAGTTAAACCATAAATAAGCAGTCGGTTGAAATTGAAGCCCCGTAGTTGGTTTTCAGACCGAAAATGGGCTGCTTCCGCTTTAAGTGGGTCATTATTCAGAAAAATTTTGTCTGGAAGATCTCAAGCCCGTAAAATAAAATCCTAATATTTATTTTTTCCATTTTTGTGACATTATAGGAAACTTTTATAGTTTTTGTAAGCAATAAAAAGTCAATTTTTAACAAAAATTTTGAAACTTTTAAAGTATTTTCAAAACCTTTACAATATTTAAAAGACTTTAAAACACAATATATGTCGCTCAAAACAAGGCGATTGTCTTGAATAAATATTGTTTTAGAAGATGAGTATCCGTTTCTAGGAATTATTATCTGATTTCTTCTGGTTTTTTATCTTCTGTTTGCGCGTTTCAAAGCCAAAATTACTCGGAACAGATAAAACGGTTACTCAAACGGGTTCGTGAGGTTGATAGCAGCGATAAAAAATACGGTAAATGCAAATTTTAACAAAAATCATATTTAAAATAAGTCTTTACTATATTTATTTAAAATACAGATATTGTGATACAGTGGAAGAGCTGTATAACAAATCATTCAGAGCTTTAAAATTTTTCAAAAGAGTTTTGTTATACAGGAGTTATAAATGCACAGCGTAACAACAGCCAAGAGAAGTCAAAAGTTGCTTTTTATGCAAAATTTCCGTTATAGAGCAGTGCCAATGTAATATATAAGTAAAATTTAAATTCGAATTCCAAACCGACGCTACAAGTAACATAAAAATTTAAAGTTGAAACGGTCAAAACTGACAAAAATTTACAATTAGTCGTTTGGTGAAAACCTACGCTGTAAAGACATGATCATTGCTTGCGCGTGATAAGGAAAAAGATTGATATGATTAATATATACTAAGCATTGAAGAGGAACCAAAGAGTAGTGATGACATAAAACAAAAGAGCTTTTATATTTATTGACTAAGATCAGCTATTAGCAGTTTTGACTATATGTATATAAGGAAAAAAGTTAAAGCAACTACTATATACTGTCTTAAAAAACACTTTGACGTAATATTGAATCAAAGTATTTTGTGAAATTAAAAAAAAGGTTATTTTTAGCAATTCAATGCGTTGTGCCTCCAAACGAAGCGGACCTCCCAGATTATTGTTGTAGTACTTGTTTGTACAAAGATTGTAGCCCTGCCAAAAGCAAAGCACAACAGGAAATTTCATTTGAACTTTTTAAAAAAATAGAATATTATTGTGATGAGAATTACACACTCTACGGAGATTCTAGATATCAGATATGTCAAGAAGATGGAACATGGACCAAAAACGCTATTTATTGTCGGCGTAAGATTTTAAATGTACAAAATTTTTAAAAGTTACAAAATAGTAAATGTGAAAATTAACTTTTAAAAAGTTATTATTATTAATTATCATTTAATATTTGACAATTTTAGCAACAAAATGCGGTTTACAAGAAGTGATAAAAAACAGTAATAACAAGTTTTTTACTATTTTGAAAGGATCAAGTAATTCTGTTGACGTGTGTTTACCAGGTTTTAGCCTAAATTCTGACTTAGAATGTGAAGCTGATAGTGAAAGGATTAAAAATACCACTTGCGAGTGTAAGTTTCATTTATGATAGAAAAATCTCAATTTTTTTGAATTTTTGATTTACTTAAAAATATAAATTTTAGTAATTCCGGTGATTTTGCCAGAATGCCCAGATAAAACGAATCATTTTGATACATTTCATTATTGTATGTGTGATGAAAGTTATGAAAATGATGACTACAGATGTGTCAGTAAGTTATAATTTTTTGTATAGTAACCCTGTATATTGTGCTGGGTGATTAAGAAAACGATAATAAATTTTGCATTTAATTTTTTGGCTTTTTTTTCAAAATTTTTTACTTAGTTGCCGATTTTTGCGCACAATTCGGTGACACTATGTGCAAACATGGTACTTGTTTGATTCACAAAGAGTCATGTTTTTGTGACAGTGACTATCAGACAGTTGGTGATGATTCATCGTCCTACGTCCTACCTCCGTTAAAATACAATTGGACTACTTTGATATACAAACATACTGCTTGTATAAGTAAGATTAAAGTTAAATATTTTACGTTGTAGTTGTTTACTATAAAAATCGTTAAAAACTGAAATATTATTTATATATTGTGTAACTGTTTATATTATATATAAGCAAAATTTTAAAAATATTTTTTACAGAGAAACGATGTTCTAAAAAACAAATTGACGGTTTTGTGGTTGCACTGCACAGTCCTTATTTTTACTTTGGGGAAAGCATAATAATATACGACCGCAACACCCATCATGTGAAAGGGGTTGAAACGTGTGATATAAACTACCAATGGGAACACAGTCTCAAAAACAGTACGTAAACAAAGAAATATATTTCACTATTTAATACGATTTAAGTGTAGTGGCTAATTGTAATATTATTACGCTCAATCATATAATAGTATAAGCAGGTTGTGTTTTAGAGTGTGAAGCGCCAACAGGAGTTGATCGTTATACGCCAGTACTGTACGTTTAAACAAATATCAAAAAATCAAAATGTTTACAATTATTTTTAGTTCCGAATACCCATTGTACACTGAAGTTACAGTAGCTTGTGAAGACTTAGTGCAGAAACATCTGCTCGGACCACAAAGAATTGTGTGTTTGAAAGGCGGATGGAGCTACGAATCGATGTGCAGATGTATGTTTTTTTGGATATATAATGGCTCGTGTTTACTACGATAGTTATAAAAGTTTTAAAACGCAAAACTACTGAAAATGGCCAATTGTGTTTTAGAGTATATTAGGGTAAAGTTGTAACATTTTACCTATATTGTAATTTTTAGGGCACCAATGCGCGGATCCGCAATTAAATGGCGTTAATTTTACGGTTAGGAATCAAGCTCTTGGTTATACGTACAATTTTGGAGTAATATTAGATCTTTTCTGTGAAAATGCCGACGAAAAGCTGGAAGGAAATCCTTCCATGGAATGCATCGCAGGACATTCTAATTTGCAGCCTGTAAAATGGGATAGGGAACGCAAGCCGTACTGTAAGAAAAAATTTGAATGTGAATTGAGAGTCGGAAATGGTGTTCTAGCTAGTGCTGAAGGGTTGATGATCGGCGAAAGCGCTAATTTTGCGTGTATTCAGCCAAACTACGTATTGTCAAGTAAGTTTTACAATAATAATTTATTGATCAAGCATAAAATTGCAAAAAATAAAACATACAAAAGCAACAACGTTACAAGGACCGCTACGTTATGTGTATACACGCGTGTAATGTATTTTCATAAAAACCTATTTTTAGACCCTAACCCTGTCACGTGTGTAAAAAAGCCTCGGCTAACTCGTTCAAATCGTTGTATAGCTCAATGGAATGCACCGGATTATGTAATTCTTAACGCTTCCGCTTCATTTTATTGTGAATTACTTCAAGAATGCAGTGAACTTAAAATCAGGTGGATAAGTCATCAAACGCCAGGAAGATTTAAAAATTTTCGAAGTGGAAATTCAGCGTTTGGTACAATTCAAAAAGTACAAGATGGAGATCAAGGAGTTTATACGTGTGATGTTGTAGATTTCAATGGTGAATTGGCTGATCAAATCACAGTACACTTAAATATAAATCATAATGGTACAGCTGGGACTAATACTAACGTGTTTGGGCCTGTTTCGATGATTGAGGTGTAAGTCAGTTGGAGGTATTAAGTAAATATGTAGTACATAAATATTAATTAAAAATTATATATTATGGTTAAATGCAAACTTTTACTGTTAACATTAAAAATAGTTACAACTTTTAATACAATATTTTAAGACCCAATGTATCGATTTACTCACCACATTTGGATCAACCAGTTCCAGAGTGCATAGATCAACAACCAATGCAATTAGAATGCCTATCCGAGTTGCATCTTGAACAGCGACAATCTGGTTCAATCAAACCAATTAGTGTGCCTTGGCCTACTGTAAAAGACAATGACCCTAATATTCAAATTAGTTCTAGTTTGATAGGACTGACAGCTCAGCCATATACGTTTAATGGAAAAGAAAAAGAAATACGATGGTTATCTAGTGATCAACATGGAAACCAAGCCGCATGTGTCACCAAGCTTATTGTTGAAGGTACGTTTTACAAATATGACCAAAATCGTTCCAAAAATGTTTTTTATTTAAAAAAAATCTTACACACTCAATGAATAATTTTATCAAAAACAAAATTAATATTAACGAAGTACAATATTAAAAACTATATAAGGGTGATCATAAAGAAAAATATTTACATCTTTCATAGCTATAAACACATAATGCAATGGTATCAATTTAAATTGAGAAAATATTTACTGATATGCTAATACTACAAAACGAATCACCAGTATTCAGGAGTTCATAGAGTAACGGCTTGTTGATCATTTTGGATGGATTGTATTAAAGTCGAACCCCAAAAATAATTTAATAAAAAAAAGAGTTTTTTCAAACTTGCAAATTACCAAAAAAGCTAATAAAATTTAAAGTATTTTTTAAATCATCGACAAAATCGTCGCTCCACTAAACGCTCGCATTGCTGACATTTCACTTCGCAGCACCACTCAAATTTACAATGACAAGGCTCGGTTTGCCATTCGTATTTCGTGTCATAACCTCGGCCGCAACATATCTTGTCGCATTCCTTGTCATTCGCACATTCTCTCCCTTTTGTGCCGCCGATTTCGTTTTTCTGGTCGATTTCGCAATAATTCGGTGAGTCGTCCAAAAAAACCAAATCAGCACGACTAGCAGGGGTAGTATTTAACTGGTACTGATAGTGGAACTGTTGTGGGTTAGATAATTGATAGTCGTATTTGGATTTGAGGTTTGCTTGCTTTGACTTTGTGTCAAATTGGTCATGTTGTAGGTAACGTTCAGTACGACTAACGGCTAGTTGAGAACGGACTATGAGCTCGTTACTATCGGTGTTTACAGTAACCTAAAATTACAGGAAGACTACAATTTCCGTAGATTTACTTTCTTTTTATAAATTTCTATTTTGCTGAGATAATTATGTTTAAGTAGATACAGTGAAACTCCTGTATAACGAATCGCTCAAGGATTGGAAATTTGTTCGTTATACAGGAGTTTCTTTATGCAGGAGTTTTAAATGCAATGTGTAGTGGTAGACCCTTTAAAAGTTGTTCGTTATACAGGAGTTCCACCGTATTATAAAATTCTTTACGTTTTTTTGGTTTTTAACGTACCTGTTGGGCTCGCTCATATTTGTGTTTCAAATTTCTGGCAAATTCATCAATGTCCGGAACTACTTTCCAACATGTTTTAGTAACGCAACTCCCACTCACGCCATGACATTTGCACTTAGTTTTCATAGAGTTTGCCAAAACTTTCCTTCCAACTCTATTATTATGCAAATTCATTTTTGCACGACTGTCCAATTTGTGTTTTTCCGTGACGTCTACGAACCTTCGGCTAAACTGGTTACCGTATTTAAGGTTATCGGAACAGCCAGCCCAAATAAAATCTTTTGAGGTTTGTCGAGGTCGGTCTCCACAACCACAGTCTGGGATTAGACCTTTGGCACACGCTTTGGCCACAGAATGAGAAACAGCTCCAGCTGATAGAGCGTAAACGTACGCTGATTCGCGGCTGGCAACTAAAGTATTTTAATTTAATTCTTTATTAGTCGTTTTAAATATCTCATTCATAAGGCTATGTGGAATTGAAACCAAAAAATATATTTTTAATCCTTTATAAAAAACCGAAAATGTTTTAAAATGTAAAAGGCACCTACTGTTTAGCAATGCCGTGCCAAAACCATGTTTAGCTGAGCAGTTCCATTTTTCGTTCGAAAATTGAGTTTGACATTCATTTACAGCGTCTTTAAGTCCAGTAGCAACTGCCCTCATAGCTGAGGGGTTGTGTTTACACAGTTCTAATTGTTTTTTTGATAAGCCTGGTAAAGAATTACAGTCGAAATATAGAGCTGAGGGCAATGGTGTTGCTGCCATTTGGGTCAACATCCTGTAAAAAATTTGAATTTACTATATTTTTTTCATAAGAAAGTTCTTTAAATTTTGTTCGTAAACAAATTCTGGCTTATGTTTCTTTTAAGATATAAAAACTTACCACCACGCATCAGCAATCTGAAAGAAAAGTAAAACGAGTAAAAACCGGAGGCAATTCATGTTTTCTAAAAGTAAACGTACATTAAAAACAAATTTCCGAAACTGTTTCACACAGTCCTACACATAGAACAATAAAAAACGAACAAAGCGAAATCTTTCAACAATAACGCAATTTTGATTATTTTTGATATTTTCTTGGTTTCTGAAGCGCTACGACCAACTCATAAACTGGTCATGAATCAGATGCAGATGAGCCACACTTTTGTTGTTTTAAAGAACTTTATGAGACCACACATTTGTTAAATAATCACTAGCATGTAGTAAGGATATGTTTTTACGACATAAAAAAGTTATTAGTTATCAAAAACAATTCAACAAATAAAAAAATTTTTAACTGTTGTTACTAGTAGGTTTAAAAAATGTATGGAAAAAAACAACTAAAAGATCTGTTTTTGGCGTGTGGTTCTTGACATAAGCATGTAAAATAACTAATTAGGTTTGCTTGCAGATGTCATATAAATCAAACATATAAATTTTGCACATGTTTTAATATAGATATATTAAAACAGGATAAAATAAATTTAAAAAATATCAAAAAACTAATCAGAAAATTAATCAGAAACTAAAACAAAATAATGCAAATAAAATCCAAAAAACAAAAAAAACTCGTTTTTAACCTCAGACAGGCTCGAACCACAGGTGTCTTGAGGGTTAGACATGTTTGATAACCACGACACAACAACGAATGCGGCATTTCCAGATAATTTTCTTATAGGTAATAGTAAAATAATAAATATAGCTAAAGTGCAATAGTCGCATAAAAATAGTAATTATATGGAAATTCTTATTATTGATTTTTAAAATATCCCCTAGTGATGATCACAGTTAGATATCATGCAACTTACTGTCAAATAAAAATCAAGTAAAAAAACTTGAAAACTGTCAGATTGTCCCATTAACTTTTTATGTTTCCGTCTTACCATTAAATTTATTTGGATTTCCAAGGGTGACGAAAATTAGGGAAGGTTACCCAACGCCAAAGTAGGCTCAATTTGGTTAAAACAATTCTAAAGATTATTTTATTTTTGTCAAGAATATTTTTAACATAGTCAATTATTCTAAATTGAAAAAAAAAATAAAACACTGTTTGATCAAAAGTTACGATTTAGATGGAGTTTTGAGTGAAATACGTTGCATAGAATAGCGGTTTCAAAAATATTTGCACTAGCAAAAGTTAATGGACCATGTATTCAAAAACAATCTAAATCGGCTAAAACGGAACATACGTTTTTTGAAAAAAATGTCAAATGACGAGACCTTTTTACTTAAAATTTAAATATAACACATTAATAAAATCAATATGTTACCCGAAAAAAAACAAAAATAGCAAAATGCATAGGGATTGCCAGGTAAAAAAATATAACCTGCCAACTCGAACTATGACGAAACCATCACACTGAAGTTCATTCCTATATTTTGACACAAACAAAAATTGTGGATCTACAGAAAAGCTTTTAAGTCTTGAGAATCCCTATTGTTTCGGTAGTTTACATTCTCAATGCTTGTTTCAATGAGAACCATTTTTCAATAGAGCCGAATATACCGTTTTCTCTATTTCGTGGTTTTACCGCGGGCTACGTCGTATTTGAATCGGAGCTTTAAATAATATCTATGTTATAACAGACTCTTCCGTATTCTCAGGATTATGTTGGAAGCATGAGTTTATTCCCAAGATAAGAATCTATCTGACTTTTTTAAAGAGTAGAAAAGTTAATACAATGGTAAAATCGCAAGAAAATCAAGACTAATAATTATAAAAATAAATTAATGAAAATATATAGTAAAGTGATTATTCTGTAACTATGAATTAAATAAGTTTGCTTAAAAAATAACGATTCTGAGGCACTATTCTCCGTTTTCATAAAGTCAGTCAAGGAATCGCTTTTTTTACTGACTTTGCCTAAACGGATAATAACGCATGAGACTTATATGAAAAAATAAACTAAATAAGAAAAATACAGCTTATCATTTAAAGATTCGCTTATTTTAAAACCTTTTTGTCTAAAAAGCGACACTTATAAAACTTATTAAAAATTTTTAAAGTTTTAGTTTTGAAGTATTTTTAAAGAATCACAAAACCTCCTCACAAAATGTTGGCGTTTTGTGTCAAAGATCAACAATTCCTTAAAGGAATTCAATTAAACTGTAGCGCCAGTAAATTTTTGAAACCAGGTAGCCGTCTAATAAGCATCATGAATGAGGTCTGTGAAAGCAGACGACAACGCATTCTCGAAAATTTATGATCGCGGGAATAAGTTTTAATGTTAGTCGAAGTAGAAAATACGAATACGGCACGACTTACTTGGCTTGTATAGACTACGAAACTGTACGTTAAATGTGTCATTAGATAAGTTGAGTTTAAAATTAATTAAAAAGGCTTTTACCATTGTAACGTACTTTTCACATAGAAAAACTATTCTAAATAATCTGTTTAAACGCTACCGTACCCGAAAAGCATAAAGTCCTTGATTCGAATTTTTTCTAGAGATTTATGAGAGCATAACTTTGATTACAATTCCGGATTCTAAAACCAATCATTTTCTAATTTAGACGACTATTTGTAAAAAAAAATTTGGTAACAATAATTATTATTTTTTTAAATTTAAAGGTATATTAAATAACAAATGTTACGAAAAATTTAAGAATTTTTTAGACAAAATTGCGTTCTTTACAATATCTTTTTTAAGATTAAGATGCCATAGAACTGCTTTTTAAAGTACACGTTAACGACAAAGCTTTTTTTTATTTCTAATATTGCAATAACCCAGTCAAATATGCAAAAAAACACTGTTCTTAAAGTATAAAAAAATCTAAAAATGACAAAAACACAACACTCATTAAAAAATCGCGTGTTGTTCATGGGGCCCAATAACCTTTATTTACCACTTATAAACATCTGCGTTTGCCAAAAAAGCAGGCGATCGTAAAAATGCACAACAAGGCCACGATGCACCAGAAGCAACTGTAAAAAATTTTACGGCTTTGCTATGCGCTTCTACAAAAATATTCTATGCAATTATATGGCCTTGTTTAAATTGTCTCAACAAAGAACGGTATAATTTTTTGGTGAAAAGTGATGTTGCCAGAGTATTGTGCGACGCACAATATTATTAGGATACAATAGGTACAATAAAAATTTATTTTAACCTACAAGAAATATTATTGAATATTCTATAAAGTATGTAGTTAAAATCTTACGTTTTATAATTAAGATTATAAAGCTATATAAAATTTGTAGAAAATGTTAAACCTACAAAAAATAAGTAATGCTATGATACAGAAAACATCATAAAGTCAAATTTTTAGAATTTATTCCACTAAAAATCAAATGCCCTAATCATTACGTAGAACAGCTACACAATACAATAGGGCCTGAAATAAACATCAAACTTCCTGAAGTGGAAGTCCAAAGCAACTCAGCCAGTATTCTAGTGCATTACCATCCACAAAACTTAAGTTCATGGCACGTTGATCGACCACTAATTGTCAACGTCAGCGCTGCTGATATAAACGGTAATAAAGCGTGGTGTCAATTCAGTTACTTGGCAGAAATAGCCGACTGTCCTTCATGGCAACTTAATTCACGCTATAAATGCACACAGAAAGGAAATATTACAGTATGCAGCGCAACACCATGTTTGACAAGAGAAATACCAGCTAATATCAAAGAGCTAGTTTGCGTTCCTGGTCATGGATGGAGAATATTGGAGGAAGATATTGATCTGAATTCAATTACTCATCTTGGTTCAGCACCAAAAATGCAAGCGGCCCCAATATGTGTAAACGAGATGACGTCCACTGTTACTTTGATGCTGAGTTACCAGTTGACTAATACTAATTGGCAGTGTAGCAATGAGTTTTTGGAAAAAGTAAGCTTTTAAAGATTTGACTTTTTTTAAATCATAATTAGAAAAATTATTTTATTATAAACAGAGTTTCCCCCGGCTTCGGAGTCAAACTGGAGCCCAAATTTAAAAACGCCTGAAGCCTTGAGCGGAGCTTGATTTTTTTTTATCTCGGCTCCAGCTTAAAAAAATAAAATGAAAATCTTATTTTTTAATAAAAATCTTACAAACGAAAATAATTATTAGGCCAAATACATTGGCTTTTTGTTGAAATAGACATCTTATTTTTTTAAATTCTTTTTATTTTTTCAATGGATTCAAGCAAAAGATTGAAATTAGCCTCGAATGACTTGGCCAAAAAATGTGAAAGTCTATCTTGTAAACGTAAAATACGATCATTTCAACAAATAATTAATGTCAAAGATGTATAAGAACAGGAATTGTTAACGGCGGCAACAGAGCATCTAATCTAACATAAAATAACAACCGTAGATTAATACTGTGTTTTATCAAGCTTTAAAATGCGAACGAGTTTTGACATATATAACATACTATGCATGATGTTCCAGTGTTCTACTAAACTATTTGCGAAATACTCACTTTAGAATAAGTTTAAGCTTAATTTTGTTGTTCTTAAGGAACTTGTGTTACCAGAACAAACCTTTGGCTTCATAAATGGCAACAACTAACCGCAGTTTCTTAGGCCGCTTTGGCCGTTCCTGCAGCTTACGCCAATGTAAAGCGATACGTTGGTCGGCTACAAGCAGTTACAACTTTAAAAATGCATTAAAGTATGCATTAATACATCAAAAAACGCAAGTGACATTTAACAGCCCTTACATAACAGTATATGTAACATTTTACATTTTTGAGTATGTATAACATATTTCTTTTTTGTTTACTTGTTTTTCTGTTGCCAACAATTGATTTTTCCTAATTTTGCATAAAATTATAATAATTTACACGAACTTATGCGTTAGGACCATGAATATTGTAAAAGAAGTAGCAATTTTTCCGCGGAGCCGGAGAAAACACGGCTCCGGAACCCAAATTTCAAAAATGCCCGAAGCGGAGCCGTATATGAAATTTTCAAAAAGGGAACCTCTGATTAAAAATGATAACTTTCATGATACTTCAAAAAATTTTATTACATTATTACGTTTTAAAGATTATCTTTAGATTCGTTCAAAAATGAGTCAGTTTCTGGAAGAGCAATGTAATGATGTCGGTTGGAGTTACAGTGGAGCAGATACACCAAACACAATGCATATTGGATTAAATTTTACCACTCATAATCGAAACACGGCTTTAGTATTATCATGTATTGAAACGATTACTGGACATGTACCACTGATACCTCCGCCATGTCCAAATTCCGGGGTTCGACGAAATTCAACAAAGTATCATCTGCGTTGTCCTACTGGGTGGGGTGCTAACAACCGGTTAAAATGTGGTATGTCAACGTATATGAAAGTATTGTATAATATAGTAATACATATTTTACATTGTTGCATAATTTTCTTTAGTTCATGGGAGAGAAGAGAAAACGTTTAAAAAATTTCATTATTTTTTCCGAATTTTGCAGAAAAATGTCCGCCCGGTTACCATGTAAAAAACGAATCCTGTGCGCCATGTACTCGTGGTACGTATATTGTAAATTCAGAAGATATAGACTGTATTAAATGCCCACACGGACAAACCACATTGTCTGATGGTGCTGCAGGTGAACATATGTGTGTAGCTCAATGTCCTCCAGGATTTTTTTCTGCAAGGAGCGGGTTGGCACCTTGTATTGCCTGTCCCAAAGGACAGTATCAACCAGACTTTGGTCAGGAACAATGTATTCTATGCGATCAGGGTTTGACAACTGCCGATTTAGCCACAGTGAATGTTAATGGGTGCAAATGTGAGTTTTAAATGTTAAATTATATACCGAAAAATAACCAAGAATTTTTAACGGCTTTTTTACTTTACCAGCATTTTTGTTGAAAGCTTACTTTTAGCTATTTGCAACCCAGGACATTACAGCTCCAATGGTGTACAGCCTTGTGAAGCTTGTCCTCGAGGACTGTATAACAATATTTCCGGCGCCACAAGTTGTCAAAGGTGCCCTGATAATCAATCAACTGATTTTGAAGGCGCTTCGTCAAAAAATGATTGCCATGGTACGTTTACAAGCCTTCCACTTAAATAATTGAAAATTTTCTTTATACACGAATTTAATTCATTAATTGATCCAACAGTCGATTTTAGAAACCGACTGCGCTTCGACCGGCTGTAAAAATCATGGCGACTGTTACAACGGTCGTTGCAATTGTGATCTAGGGTTTACCGGTATTCAGTGCGACATAGCTTTGAATTTGTGTCATGCCGATTTCTGTTTAAACGGCGGAAGCTGTAAATTCAACGAAAATGATGGCTCTACTTGTTCTTGCATTCAAGGCAGTTTTACTGGCCGAAGATGTGATAAGAATTTAAATATTTCAAATAACAGATTCCGAAGAAAAACAACTAATTGGAGATCTGCCAGCAGAAGCTGGCATCAATCTTCATCTTGGTACAATACTAGTGTTGTTGGTGTCCGTAAGTTAATTTTCCTACATTTTTTAAGAGTTCAAAGAAGTTTTATCATTAATAACGTGAATTTAAATATTTTTTATTAAAATGTCACTTATGTTTTACACTAAACATAACACCTTTTCATTTAAATAAGCTAAACCTCTTAAATTTAGAAGAAAGGACAACTTCGTCAATTCGTTTTGCTCCAACCAAACCAAATAACTTGCTAAAAACGCCAATAACTACAGCATGGACAAAATCTCCGTTAACCACTCCATGGAGAATATCTCACCCGGCGACATTGAGACCGACTACCCCTCCTTCAACACCGAATTTTACGACAACAAGCCCTACTGCTGACTGTGATTTAAATAAATGTTTCAATGGGGTATGTATATCAAATGATTGCAACTGTAATGACAAATACGATTACTTACAAGATGGACATACATGTCAACCGTCAATTAATTGCTCCATTTTAAATATATGCATTGAAGAACACACCAAAAGATGGGGAACTATAGACAAGGACTGGTAAGTCAAAGTTTTATCGAACTATTTTAATCCTTTCAAAGCCTAAAAAAACATTTAAAAAAAGTTTATTAGTATTTAAAATTAAAAGATGAGCAATTGCCAAACAATTACTAAAATTACTCGAAAACCAAACAATACATCATAGTTCAAAAAACCACTTCAGAAGCGAGTAACAACTTAACATTACAACTACAAAAATCAGTGCCAACTTTAAACTTAAAAACAAGAACAACTTAAAAAAACCTTTCTTTTTAAATTATAAGTTTTACGGTGAAACATTTTAAAACACGCATGTGCACTAGAAATTTACCTACTGCTTTTACTTAGTAGACAGTCCCTTAAAACAAGTGATGAAGTTACTTTAGTCAAAATGCCGTTTTGGCAGTTTTATGCCACTTTTTGTTTGAAAACGGTTCAAATTTATTAAAAAACCGACAGTGGAAAAAATCTTTCGAAATTTTGTATATTTTTGTTCTTTCCAAACACAAAAACAGTAACTAAATTTTTTGTGCTCACCTTGCTTCCCAGTCCCAGACGTCTTTTAATTCTAAATGACACATTAGTACTTGTATTTCGTACTGTAATCTCTGGGCGATACAACCAAACCACGACCTTTTCTTGCTCCTCTGTACACTGTTTCCACAATATCGATCATCTCCTGGGCTTCTTCCATTGGCCAATTGATTTTGTTGTTGTTACCCGTCCCCAAATCCACCATTATGTGTTTGTTCCTAAAAAAGAACATGACCGTGCACGGATCGTACAACTCGTACATCGTGTTGAAATCGGGGGTCTCTGTGGTGTCAACCAAATAGATAACCGCAAAGTTCTTAACCAGGTTTTGAATTTTGTGCAACGTCTGAAAAACGGAATGTAAAAGCTTTTTAATCTATATATGTTCATTGTGAAAAGCCACCAGACACACAACTCTAAGGTTGCCGTATAAAAACAAACTAAAAACATCAAAATAGAGCAATAACTTACTTCATCCATAACCATACAAGCGGGATCCCAGTCATGGCCGAATCGAATTAGAACAACTCGATCTTCTTCTGACAAAATGGCTTGGTCCACTTGCCAGCCATTGTGAAGATGTGGCAAGAGGTAAGACATTAAATATCAATAACGTTTGGCGAAATAAACGCGCGCGCGTTTCCAATGTTATTTCTCTAAAGACTTTCGGAATATAAAAAGTTCAGAGAGAGGCTTGACGTTTTTTCGTGATGGGTCAAGTCTCGCTCTTTCAACAAACTACAATTGTTCTAATCGGTGTTTTGTCGGACCAGACGGAACCAACACACATTTTTGCGGACCGGAGCCAAAAACCTGCGGACCTGGACCGAAAAAAGCTCCGGACGGGTCCGAATTTTTTTTTAGTTTTAATGAAACTGTTTTAAAAATTGCAAATAAAAAATGTTTAATTTTTTTAAGCAAAAAATAAGTCGTTTAAAATTTTAGCGCTTGTTGCTTTTTTTAAAAATTAAAAATAATTTTTATTGCGGACCGGACCCAAAAATTTTGAGTTTGGACCGGACCGGTGTAGACATGAGAACACGTTTCCGCGTAAAAAAATTTAAAATTTTATTTCGAGAAATATATAAAAATCAACAACGCCGAGAACGAATCTTAATTTAAAAGGTCGATACCGGCTGAAGGCACCAGAAGGCAAAAACATTGTTCAGCAGACTTTTCGTAAAAGATGTTTGGCATCAAAAGAAATACGGACATATAATAAACATTAAAACACAAAACAGGTTTCAAATTTTACCTGTTTACAAAATATGGCAACGTAAACAATTCGTTAAGGATTTCACCGTTAAAAATTTGGCTTCTCTAAAGTTCAATTAATAACGATACTATCTAAACAGCTGTTGTAATTTCTATAAAGTGACAATGATACTATAAAGTTACGTGTAACTAATAAGAAGTTTTAAAAGATCTTTATTTTTAAGCTGTTTCTTGTTGTTTTTGACGAAGTTTTCTGGCAGCATCATAAACGTATGTTAAAAAGTAGGGACCACCTTTGCTCACCATCCAGTTGTAGGCTGGTCCTGGTATGACGGCCTTTGGGTGATCGTAGTAGATAAGCACATAATCAAACCTAAATTGTCATGGTAAATATAATAATTTCTAAACTTTCTGCAAGTGGGAACGTCTGTATGATGTAAGGCTATGATAACATATACTTACCCATTATCTTCATATTGCGTCTTTGGCTTCACCCTTAATGTTGAAGCGTATGCTTCGACTCTAACGTAGCTTTTATCCTTGACTGACGTTGGATGTTCTTTCTCCGTTAAGACACGGCTTTCGATTGTGTACACCCCACTTGAATCCCAGCTCCTTTCTCGCGTATAAATGTAGATTCTGGGATTTAACGGTCGCGGAAACTTGTGAAGCCACCTAACGACGTCTTGTTGATAGCTTATTCTTTCAATTACCTAAAATAATGGTTTTTAGTTGCTGTATCGCCAATAAAAACTATTCTATTACAGCAGCATTTTCTACTAAAATCTTTTTTTCTTAGCTAAATTTTTTTCAAAAAAGCTTCATATTACAATGGTGATTTCTACCTTACTTCCAACTCCATGACATGCGGGTCCCACTCTTTTCTGTATTCACTTTCCATTTGAGCGTCAACGAAATCCCTTGCACTAATGTCATCGTAACTACCACAACAGCGATACTCGTACGTGTTTAAGTCTGGTAGCCAACGTCTGTGTACTGTAACATGTTTATCATTGTAAAGCATTTCCCATTTTAAATGGCCATAATCCGGAACTTCATGAGCAAACGATGTGAATGCTGGATCTGGATTGTGTTCGTGATTTTCTTCTTTTTCACAAAGAACGTCAATACTATTATCTTTGTTTTTGGCGATCTTTGGACTATCCTTAATGTTTTTGTCATCAGTGACTGTTGAGACGGCTGCCAATGAGAAAACAAAAGCCCATTTTTTAGTGTTGACGCTGTGCTGATACGTTGGAATAATGTAGTTGGATTGGTATCGGTTCGTATTCCTGAGCCCGTTAATTCTTCCGTGCCTTATAAAAGATGCGCGAAAAAGAGAACAGATGCGGCCGAATGCACTCATTGTACGACATGGATTCTAATACAAAACTAGCCTAAAGGTGAAAATCATCAACATATAAGATAATAACACTCAATAAATTCTAATAATACCAGTAGTAGGTATAAAAAATGAATTTTACGCCAAGAAAATCCTAATAAGTCAATATTCATGGTACAAAACAATTACCAACATCTAACACTCTAATTCCATTTACATTTTCATTCATTTATTCTACTATACAAATTGAGAGACACCCATAAATTTTACAGCAATGACGAATGAATTATCCATTAAATAAGAAAATAATAATACGATAATCACGGAACAACTAGAGATTTTTACACCTGCGATAAATGTTAACAAACTGCTAATTTTTTGGAAAATTTCAAAGCCAAACAAATTTATAAATTATTTTAAAAAAGAATCAAGCAGCACGCTTTTGTACCGCAGCATCACATGCGACGACTTTAACACGTTCAATCGGGCCTTCAATGGCTCTGTATGAATCGCGGAATTCGACTTTGTTCATAAGGAAAGTCCAAACATTGTCGCAGAAACGATAAGCTCGGAGTTTGTCAGCCTAAAACTAGTTTTTATACGCGTAACCTTTACATTGACGTTTTAAATTATTCGTCATAAAACCTATAACAATTTTTCATTGTTAAAGCCATAAGTTTTTTTACTAAACTCACTTTAAAAGTAGTCTTGTTTTTTAAACGATTACTCAAAGCATGGTTGATACACTTGTCAAACGTAGACATTACGCGTTGTTGAAGCTGTGGTGGAATATGACCATCTCGAACAAACTCGTCCAACACCTGGTCGAGGGCAATCCCTAGGGTAGTGGAACGATACATTTGGTACGACATAATCGTAGCCGAAGTGGGAATACCTTAATATTTATATAAATAATATAAAACCTTTTCAGTAAAAAACAGTCAAAAACCTTATGTAAAGTACTTTCGTATGGCAATACGAACATAAATACTCTTAACGATATTCACGGCCAAAACCGAGTCAAAAAACAGATCTCCAAAAAATAATAAACTTCAATATTTTTTAAAAATAACAACAACAATAACATTTAACAACGTTTCATTCTTCAACCTTTTCAACGTCTCCTTCTTGTAATACGTCATTCTCCAATTCGAGTTGTTTTTCTTCGTATCTGTAAACACGTACGTAGCCACCAGCACAAGCACAGAAAACCAAAGGTTCGTTGTTCACTAGACCCATCGTAAAGTCAAATATTTCTTGACCAGCGCCGCATTTAAACTAAAAAATTTTAAAACTTATAATAGCAGTATGATATATGTTTTATATTTTAATTCATAATTAAACATACCAACAAAGGGTCTCCACTTTTGGCATCCCAACACCGTACAGCCCCATCAATGCAAGCCGATAATATCCTAATGCTATTAGCATCTGGTTTCCACCACATGCACTTTACTACAGCCATAGTATCGTGAGCACATTCATGTCGTGCTTGACCTGTTTCATAGTCATAAACAACCAACATTCCATTCGAAGACCCTACAGCGATCCAAGGATAGCCTTGTGCAAACTTGACTGTTTCCACGCTATCCTCCACTTGTTCTTCTGATTCTGTCTTCTAAAGTGTTTTAGTAAAACACACAGGTCCAAGCAGAACAAAATAAGATCAAAACTGTAACGAGCAATAACAATAAACCTACATCAACAACTCCAAGTTTGAGTACAGATTTCATGTTTGTAGTATTCACAATATGTGTAACGCCATTCCCAGTACCAACTGCAACCAAAGGATGTTCAAAATGTGCATCCAACGCCGTCGCAGCTGTGTGTAATTTTAATGTCATATACGAAGAATCTTTTAAAGTCCATGATATAACGCGGCCATCACCGTAGACAGCTAACAAATTTTGCGACCCCGGCAACAGTCTTCCATCGACGCATGGCGCATTAGTCTCGCTGGTGTAGGTCTATAAATAAACCGCTAGAAAGCCGCCTTTCTTCGCACAAAATAGGCAAAGAATGTTAAACAAGATTTAAAAAATCAATATTAAATACGCTGACTTTGCTCTAACTTACCTTAACTTTCTCAATTTGTTTGCGACTCAACAAAAACATGTATATTTGGCCAGATGAAGTTCCGGCTAATAAGATATCAGCTTGCGAATGCCATATTGTCCACTCTAGGTCGTCACAATAATCAACCTAAAGTAATATAATTTTTTTCTGTGTACGTCCATCTATCGTTATCTCGTTACCAGGTTTTAACTTACATCGTACAACTTCTCACCAGTTTTTGAATCAAATATTTGAATCTTTCCAGCCATATCAGCAGTGCAAAACAATGTGTTTGTACCATTAAAGGCTACACTAACGACAGAATCCGTATGCCCTTCTAGTAACCGATTCAATGTCATACCTAAACTATAAACGCTAAAACAAAATACTCCTACCTTGGTTAACATTTTCCAAATTCCAAAACACTGCTTTATCGTCTTCTCCTCCTGTTAACAAACGTTTTCCATCTTGTGATAAACTAATTGTAAAAATATCTTTATCATGAACTTTCAATGCCACCAACGATTCATCTGGGACCTCTTCCATATTTTCTAAAGCATCAATGATAAAAAACGTAACTTCCTATTATGTTAGAAACAATAGAATTTAAACAAAATATTAAAAGAACAACATATTAATATCATAACAAGCAAAACAATATAACACAATAAAATAGTATTTACCTGGAATTGCTTCCTCTTCTATTTGTTCGTCCTCCAACATTTCTACATCATCGACCGACATTTTAGAGCAATAAAATAGCTTGAAAACCTAAATATACAGAAAAACAAAGAAAAATGAGTTTACGTAGGGCGAGACATGACACGTTGGAGAGATATGTGACACAAAAAAAGAATTTCGACGCATGTGTTGTAAACAAAATTTGAAAATGGTCTAAAATTAGATATGAGGAAGGGGCCCAGCCCCCTTTCTATCTAAAATTATCCAAAATCAAAGAAAAAAATAAAATTTTTATTAAAATTTTTGAAAAATAATTTTAGTTGCGTTTGCAAAGATGGGTATGAAGGTGAATTTTGCGAACGAAGAGCTCTAGACCCCCGTTGCTGTACAAAAGAAAAAGGTTGCAAGCCCGCTGAAGTTTGTCTTTTTGAAACACCGGAATGTGGCAAATGTTACCAAGAATGTGATGAAAACCAATACTTGAAAGATTGCAACAATCCTCAATATTTGACCCTAATTAAATGTCAAAATGATGGTATTTTGAAATATGATGGTATAAAACCTTTTTGTGATTGTCGACCGAAGGAAGATGACGTTTATATTGGAGAATATTGTGAAGCCAGGCTCAGTAAATGTCATAAAGATCATCCGAAGTCTCTGGTTTGTTTGAATGCGGGAAGATGTAGGGACAACGGTACGGTAACAGAATGTAAATGCGTTCAAGGTTTTGAAGGTGAATATTGCGAAAGATTGGTCGATTTTTGCGTGTATTTGAATTGCAATAAGAATAACACACGTGAAACGATAAGGCATTACGGAACGTGTTACTGTCACTGTAAAGAAGGTTATTTTGGAGATACTTGTGATGTAAGTTTGTCTATATGAGTTACGCTCATCAAGAAGTTTGTAATATACTTTTTGATCAATAAAAAACAAATTTTACAGGAAGAAGTAAATGCTTGTGAAAAACGTGACATCAAACTGTGTGGACAAGGAGAATGCAAAGCAGTCGGTGTTGGATATGCACCTGTAAATGAATATTCTGGTTACAAATGTGTTTGTAAGGCCGGAAATTTGAGAGGTAATATATTTATATAGTGGATAATGTAAATTTATTCTTAAAATTGAAAAAATTGCTGATTTCTAATAATTATTTTTATTTTCAGCGAGTGATAATTGTTTGTCATTCAATTCTTCTTGTCCGTTATCAAATTGTTATTGTAAGTCCTTAGCTGTCATTTATTTATTTTTGAAAAAATTTGTACGAAAATTTTTATTTAAATTATAACGTACGTTTAGATAAATAAAATAAACAACAAAGAATAATTATAATTATAACCAAAATCAACAAATTACCTTCAAATTTTAATATTTTAGTACCTCATGGGGTTTGTAAAGATAAGTCTTACAACGATACGGCTTGTATATGTCGTGAAGGTTATTACGGGAAGGATTGTTTAGAAGATGTGAACTACTGTTCAGACGAAACATGTTTGCATAATGGTACATGTCATCAAGGCAGAGATACACGACGGTTACCTCGTATGATGTGCGATTGCCCACCAGAAACGGATGGTGTTAACTGTGAAGAGATGCCTTCACCGTGTGATAAAGATCCTTGCGGGGAACATGGTGAATGTATTCCACGGGGAAAATACAACTTCACGTGCAGATGTAAGGATGGTTACAGGGCTCCACAGTGTATTACACCACCGGTGGGTTTTGTGCTATATGCCATAAATTGGTTTTAAAGAAAACTATTACGTTTTGTATTTCATAATGTAACACATTTTTTATTATAATTAAAATTGTTTTACAGAGTCAATGTGTTGATGGACATAGTTACTGTAATGAGCACGGAATATGCAAATCTTATGATCGTTTTGATAGCTGTGAGTGTTTTCGAGGATACACCGGTCGTCAGTGTGAACAAGGTAAGGGATAATCAGAAGTAGCGCAAAACTAAAAAGTGGGTAATTTTAAAAAATTGAAAAATTTTTTCACACATTCTCACAAATAATATTTTTTTAAACAACTATTCTTCTATGGTTATCGTTAAAAAAAATACTTTTTAGAAAGCACTAACCAGTTTAACCTCTTCTTTACTGGTCGTTCAGTATTGAAACCACCAGTTCATTCAATGGATGTGGATTGTAAAACTAAGGACTATATCACACTAACTGCTTGGATGAAATATGATAAATCGGTCTATGGTTTTGACACTTTTCCTATTACTTTGAAAAACCATCATGATGATTTTGTTCGAATTGACAGAACTAAAGTTATTGTTAACAATGTAACAATTGACATATCAGAAAGTAAAGTTGGCTTGGAACAATGGGTATACGTAAGTTTTTTGGAATTATGTCACATACTTTTTGTTGGTTCTTATAAATAAAAAAACTGCATGATTTAAAAAATGCCTTCCAGTACGTGATAACATACGACGTTCATAATAGAATTGTCTCAGTGGTTGTGAATAATGGCCCTGCCTATAAACGCGACATTAACGTTTACTGCATGACTTTGAAATTACTTTTGGGGACTCAAGTGAATGAAAAACCGATGGTGCCTATTTTTAAAGGCGAAATGGGATTAGTCCAGGTATTTTGGTAGCATTATTAACAAGGAAGGTACCCGACCTGCAACGCTCAGATTTCGTTCAAAATTTTTTTTGAAAGATCAAGTAAATGTAAGATCCTAAGCAAAATTCTAACAAGGAAAGTGCCCGACCTGCCCCGCTCTGATTGACTTCGAAATTTTTATATAGGAAGATCATATAAATATAAGATGTTCAGCAAAGTACTAAATCGCGCTTTCCAGGAAATCTCGAGAAACAAAATGAACCTACATTTTTAAATTTGTAAGCGTATCTTGCCTGGAAAGCCGAAAAAAGTGCTTGAAACACAATGCCAAATTTGCCAAATTGGCGGGAAACCCAAATAATTAAAATTTAAAACACAAAAGCGCGAGCTAAAATTTTTTATGGGTACTATTGGTGGTACAAAGAATTCATATAAAAATTTTGAGCTGATTCTGAGCGGGGCAGGTAGGGTACTTTCCTTGTAAGTTGCGGTTTGCGGCCATTCTTGAGAAAATCGAGATCAAAAAATCGCGTTTTGAATTTTCCGCCAAGTTGGCATAGTGTTTCAAGCTTTTAACTTTGTCGTTTTTTGATTTTTAACATTTTTACTTAATATAGTAATAGAAAAACTATCTTATCTAGAACATCAAAAAAGGGCTTGAAACACAATGCCAAATTCGCCAAAGTGTCAGAAAATTTAAATGTAGCAAAGAAAATTTAAATGTTAGTCAGAAATATTAAATTTGAAAACTTAAAACCGCAAGCTAAGATTTCTACTAAAACATTAAATTTCTTATATGTGCTATCGATACTACAAAGAATCTTAAAATTAAAAATTTTGAGCTAATTCTGGGAGTTGCGGGTTGGGTACTTTTCTTGTAAGTAAATTTTAAGTTAAAACTTTCAATTATCAAATAAAATTAAAAGCGGTATACTAATTTTACGTTAAAGAGCAGCACTTAAACGTTTTTGATTTTTTATACGCATTTCAGGTACATAACGTCGCATTTTCTTTCCTAGAAATAAATGAACAGATTAAAAACTGTTTAAAATGGCATTTTAAGGAAGAAAATGTTATTATAAGCTGGCGTGATATTAACTTAACTACGTGGTCAAGAACTGATGTTCAAGTATTGGTACCAGGAGTATGTTCCAAAACAAATTGTCGCAATGGTGCGAAGGAATGTAGTCCAGAAATAGGTAAAAAATACGTTTTTTATAATTGTTTGTTTTGTTTTTAATACATTTGTATATATTTTGTCATTTAAAACGTTTTTTTGTATGATTGCACTAAAAATGTTTAATAATGTGGTTTTGATTTGAGGTAACGTTTAAATTTTGAATTAGTATTTTACATAATTTTTTATCGTTAATGGTCATAATGTGTAAATATTAGATCGTATACCTCCAAAACCCATCAATTGTCCTTCTTTAATTCGAAGAAACAGTACCAGTCGATTGTACCGCGAGGATTGGGGTGAAATCAAATTTGAAGACGACTCGTATATTGTGGAAGTAAAATCGAATTACTTTTGTAATCAAACACTTACGTTCGGCTACTATCACGTTGTTTATATTGCTGTTGATATGCACAACAATTATGGTAGATGTGAGTTTGATGTGGTGATCGCAAATGAAGGCGAATCTGAACCAACACTGGATGCAAGTTATACTAAAAGTTGGTATCGAGAATTTGAAACGGATCAAGTAAAAAGTTATCAGCAGTTGGAGTGTATAAAAAATGAACATCAGTTTATTGATGACAATTCGCCTTTTTATACGATGGATTTCATGGTATGACAGTTTGTTTTAAAATGGTTTCACTTTTGTAAAGTGGAAGCTCTGTATAAAGAACTCCTGCTTAACAAAATTTCCGTATAACGAACAAATTTTGAATCTCCGGCTAACACTACACGGCGCATGTGAAACTCCCCTATAAATTTCTAAATCAATTAGTCAAAAAGTTTTAGAATCACTGGAGTGTAAGAGGAAGTTATTACCCCACATGCAGTAAGGCCGAGTTTCCTATGCAAAATTTGACCGGCAATTTGACTAATTTCAACTACGACTGTGATAATCAAGATGAGTTAGATTACGTTACTTTGGAACGTATACTTTGGGCAATTAACAATGCTTCCGAGGAATTCGAAAAGACATATGATAAAGGGTTTTGTGAAAAAAATGACTGTACGGATAATACAATTATAATCCCGCCGGTTTGTGATAATACAACAAATTTTAATAAAAATCGCAATCGCTGGAGTCGTGCTGTAACTCTTGACCTGTTTGGCACATACGAATATATTTTGAGTACTAAGTAAGTTTACTTTTTTTGCGCTTCTTTATTTTATTTTAGATTAGTAAGGACTTTTAAAAAAATGTTTATCATTAGTCAATACGGAAATAAGAATGTCTTTCGTAAATAAAAAAGACGTTAGCAAACATATTTGTTGTAGGCTTGGGATTTATAAATTTAATCTTTTCATTAAAGTTTTGTTTTATAGTAATACACAACATGTTGTCAGAGATTTTGTAATTGAGGCTCTTCGTAAACAATTTGAAGTCAAGAAAATTCGTGTGTATGCAAATAATGAAGTAAGTTTTTACACATTTATATCATTTATACTTTTTATTTATTTTATTAACTTGCGACAATGATCTGATGTTTTAGTCATGGGAATTACCAACACCATGTGAGTTAATTCTCGAAGAGTGACTTTTGCGATGGGCATTTTGGATAATGAAAATTTATGGAATTCTTAATTTTTTTCTTTCTTTCTGGTATTATTTTCTCTCCCGGCTAAGTATACGGTTAAAGTTTACTTTTAATTTAAGAACAAAAAAAAATAAAAAAAAGTGTAACATTAAAATATTTAAGTCGTATAAACTCTAGATCAAAATTTTGAATGTGCTGACGAAGCTCAATATGTACGGCTGACTACAGAACTTGACAATGATCAAGAGCAATTCTTCTGCTTTTTACCTGGCCCAGGAAAATTTTTCAACAAAACCTTGAATAAGGTTGAGGAATGTCACATAGGGTACTATAAGGAAACTCACGGAAGCGAGCTTTGCTCGGAATGCGGTGAAAACCGGACTACATTAATTCGTGGAGCACGTAATGAAACCGATTGTTTTTGTAAGTAGCTTAACAAAAAAAGTATAAAATTTTAATTTACAAGGGGCATCCTTGATATGGAACGTTTAGAATTTAGATGTCGTTTCTTAGTAGTATGAATTGCCCATGTAAAAATACCAGCTTGTTTTGTGTTTTGAAAATACATATTTCCTCATTAAAGGGTTTCTATTGTAATTTCAAAGAAAATTATAAAAAGTTCAGAAAGCCTAAAGTTAGTTGCTTGAAACACTATGCCATTTTGGTGAAAATTTTAAAAATTATTTTTTATCATTATTTTTGCAGGATGGTGTAAACCGCGCTTGACTATTTTGCTTAAGTTCTTACGCTTACACGATTTTTCTATAAAAAAAAGTTTGAAGATGAAATCTGAGTGTTCCACGTCTTAGATACACTTTTTCAGAAATATTGAGGATTTAAATATTTAAAGTAATTAATATGAAAATTTCATATAAAGCTTTAATTTTACAGATATTAATTGCAACAAAGGTCAGTATGGCGATAGTGAGGGATGTCATCCGTGTAAGCGTGGAGAGTATAACAATGTAGGCGGTCGTGACAAATGTAATCATTGTGTTCCCGGTTGGTATACTACCTTGCAAGAAGGTAGCACAAAAGAAGATGATTGTATTTGGCCGTGCGAAAGATGGGAAAATTATGACTTGATTACTGGTTGTGCACCTTGTGTTAACGGCACATTCATGGACTTCTCTGTTAGTCCTGGCTGTAAGCCTTGCAATAAGGGATTTACGTCCGAATTCAACAGCACGAGTAAAGAAGATTGTAAATATGTGTTTTGTCCGCTTGGATTTACAATTAAGAACGAACGCAATAACAGTCTTACGGATGATCAAACATTGAGTGAGACAACATTTATTAATTTTTGTACGCCATGTGCAGTAGGAAAGTACAAACACTGGCATGGAAATCAGAATTGTGCGTCGTGTCCTGCTAATTCCACAACAGTAGCTGAAGGAAGTAAATATAAAAATGACTGCTCTGTAATTCGATGCCCTGATGGTAACGGAAAAGTATGTTCAGCAGGGTATACATGTCACAATTACATGTGTACCAAGGTACCTAACTTTCAACCTGAAGAAAATTGGTTTGGCTACGTTTTGGCTTCTTTGTCTTTAGGAATGTTGTTTATTTTATGTATATTCTGCGTTATCTATCGAGGATTTGTGTAAGTTGTTATCTTCAGTTAAAATATGTCGCTTATTTATATTTTAAAACAGAAGCTAGCGTCTTTTCATTTTTGTTTCAAGATTTATAACTGTATGATTCTTCAATATGCTTTTTTTGTTTTAAAAATGTATATTTTAGAGTGATGTATATAGACAGTTCCTGTCCATGGATATTATTTTGTTGGAAGCCAAAACAAGGTCAAAGAAGATTTAGTGTGAATCCAGCGAGGGACACGTCAAATTTGCCTATGAGTCCCAGTAGCGATGACGGTCCGACTAACATTTTGGAAACGGACATTGATGATGACAGAAGGCCTCGGTTTGACACTGGGTCTACAGACGCCAGTTGCGTTAGACAGAGAAAACTCGGTGCACAGGTTGGTTGCTTACAATTTTTTTACTTATGTTTGTAAAAAATTGGTTGATTTTTTTAGTATTGTGTAATATTTATTGCCTCTTAGTCCTCAAACATTCTCGACGAACTAAGGTCAAACCTGATGCATGTGATGGCTTCTCCAACGTCCGCCATATCTTCAGATTCGAGTGGTAAACGAACACCACCACCAATTCTTACTGGAAGTCCATCTCGTCGTGACTTGGAAGCTGCCAAAGCAGCAGCTCGAGTAGCACGGTCAGAAACCTATCAAATGGCGACGTTTGACAACAATCCTCGTATACAATTTCAGAGTAACTTTATTCGTCATCACCGTACGTATGGCCCATTGGCAGTTGATGCTCGGACCAATCATACCATACCCAGGGTAACTATTGTATCTACAGAAACAACTTCAGAAACCAATGAAGATGATGACGAAGGGTTTTTTAAATAAAAATATTTATGCTTGTCGAGACGCATCGTCAAATGTGTTTAGTTGCAAAGTTTATAAAGTAGTGATACTAAATCTGATATTAAAAATTAATTAAACTATTCACTTTTTCAAATATAGATCGAAACGTGAGGGAAGATGATGGGGGTTTAGATTACACGTCGAGTTACAGTAATGTAAATATTTCCATGCTATTATACATGCTGAATATACGATCGAGTACCACAAAAAATTTCTTTATAAGATAGCGTCGAAAAACCAGTGTGAGATGTCAGTTTTGATGGACTTTTCAGAATCTGTGCCGTCTGTTGTTCTAACTCCACTATTCGTCGAGTTACAGTAATTTAAAACTTTTCATGCTATATTATACATGCTGAATATACGGTCGAGTACCACAAAAAATCTCTTTATAAGATAGCGTCGAAAAACCAGTTTGAGATATAATTTTTTATGGGCTTCTAATCTGTGCCGGCTGTTGTTCTAACTCCATTATTCGTCGAGTTACAGTAATTTAAAACTTTTCATGCTATATTATACATGCTGAATATACGGTCGAGTATCACAAAAAAACTCTTAGAAGATAGCGTCGAAAAACCAGTAAAAGATGTCAGTTTAATCTTAGGCTTAGGCTTAGGCTTAGGCTTAGGCTTAGGCTTAGGCTTAGGCTTAGGCTTAGGCTTAGGCTTAGGCTTAGGCTTAGGCTTAGGCTTAGGCTTAGGCTTAGGCTTAGGCTTAGGCTTAGGCTTAGGCTTAGGCTTAGGCTTAGGCTTAGGCTTAGGCTTAGGCTTAGGCTTAGGCTTAGGCTTAGGCTTAGGCTTAGGCTTAGGCTTAGGCTTAGGCTTAGGCTTAGGCTTAGGCTTAGGCTTAGGCTTAGGCTTAGGCTTAGGCTTAGGCTTAGGCTTAGGCTTAGGCTTAGGCTTAGGCTTAGGCTTAGGCTTAGGCTTAGGCTTAGGCTTAGGCTTAGGCTTAGGCTTAGGCTTAGGCTTAGGCTTAGGCTTAGGCTTAGGCTTAGGCTTAGGCTTAGGCTTAGGCTTAGGCTTAGGCTTAGGCTTAGGCTTAGGCTTAGGCTTAGGCTTAGGCTTAGGCTTAGGCTTAGGCTTAGGCTTAGGCTTAGGCTTAGGCTTAGGCTTAGGCTTAGGCTTAGGCTTAGGCTTAGGCTTAGGCTTAGGCTTAGGCTTAGGCTTAGGCTTAGGCTTAGGCTTAGGCTTAGGCTTAGGCTTAGGCTTAGGCTTAGGCTTAGGCTTAGGCTTAGGCTTAGGCTTAGGCTTAGGCTTAGGCTTAGGCTTAGGCTTAGGCTTAGGCTTAGGCTTAGGCTTAGGCTTAGGCTTAGGCTTAGGCTTAGGCTTAGGCTTAGGCTTAGGCTTAGGCTTAGGCTTAGGCTTAGGCTTAGGCTTAGGCTTAGGCTTAGGCTTAGGCTTAGGCTTAGGCTTAGGCTTAGGCTTAGGCTTGAGGCTTAGGCTTAGGCTTAGGCTTAGGCTTAGGCTTAGGCTTAGGCTTAGGCTTAGGCTTAGGCTTAGGCTTAGGCTTAGGCTTAGGCTTAGGCTTAGGCTTAGGCTTAGGCTTAGGCTTAGGCTTAGGCTTAGGCTTAGGCTTAGGCTTAGGCTTAGGCTTAGGCTTAGGCTTAGGCTTAGGCTTAGGCTTAGGCTTAGGCTTAGGCTTAGGCTTAGGCTTAGGCTTAGGCTTAGGCTTAGGCTTAGGCTTAGGCTTAGGCTTAGGCTTAGGCTTAGGCTTAGGCTTAGGCTTAGGCTTAGGCTTAGGCTTAGGCTTAGGCTTAGGCTTAGGCTTAGGCTTAGGCTTAGGCTTAGGCTTAGGCTTAGGCTTAGGCTTAGGCTTAGGCTTAGGCTTAGGCTTAGGCTTAGGCTTAGGCTTAGGCTTAGGCTTAGGCTTAGGCTTAGGCTTAGGCTTAGGCTTAGGCTTAGGCTTAGGCTTAGGCTTAGGCTTAGGCTTAGGCTTAGGCTTAGGCTTAGGCTTAGGCTTAGGCTTAGGCTTGAGGCTTAGGCTTAGGCTTAGGCTTAGGCTTAGGCTTAGGCTTAGGCTTAGGCTTAGGCTTAGGCTTAGGCTTAGGCTTAGGCTTAGGCTTAGGCTTAGGCTTAGGCTTAGGCTTAGGCTTAGGCTTAGGCTTAGGCTTAGGCTTAGGCTTAGGCTTAGGCTTAGGCTTAGGCTTAGGCTTAGGCTTAGGCTTAGGCTTAGGCTTAGGCTTAGGCTTAGGCTTAGGCTTAGGCTTAGGCTTAGGCTTAGGCTTAGGCTTAGGCTTAGGCTTAGGCTTAGGCTTAGGCTTAGGCTTAGGCTTAGGCTTAGGCTTAGGCTTAGGCTTAGGCTTAGGCTTAGGCTTAGGCTTAGGCTTAGGCTTAGGCTTAGGCTTAGGCTTGGGCTTAGGCTTAGGCTTAGGCTTAGGCTTAGGCTTAGGCTTAGGCTTAGGCTTAGGCTTAGGCTTAGGCTTAGGCTTAGGCTTAGGCTTAGGCTTAGGCTTAGGCTTAGGCTTAGGCTTAGGCTTAGGCTTAGGCTTAGGCTTGGGCTTAGGCTTAGGCTTAGGCTTAGGCTTAGGCTTGAGGCTTAGGCTTAGGCTTAGGCTTAGGCTTAGGCTTAGGCTTAGGCTTGAGGCTTAGGCTTAGGCTTAGGCTTAGGCTTAGGCTTAGGGCTTAGGCTTAGGCTTAGGCTTAGGCTTAGGCTTAGGCTTAGGCTTAGGCTTAGGCTTAGGCTTAGGCTTAGGCTTAGGCTTAGGCTTAGGCTTAGGCTTAGGCTTAGGCTTAGGCTTAGGCTTAGGCTTAGGCTTAGGCTTAGGCTTAGGCTTAGGCTTAGGCTTAGGCTTAGGCTTAGGCTTAGGCTTAGGCTTAGGCTTAGGCTTAGGCTTAGGCTTAGGCTTAGGCTTAGGCTTAGGCTTAGGCTTAGGCTTAGGCTTAGGCTTGGGCTTAGGCTTAGGCTTAGGCTTAGGCTTAGGCTTAGGCTTAGGCTTAGGCTTAGGCTTAGGCTTAGGCTTAGGCTTAGGCTTAGGCTTAGGCTTAGGCTTAGGCTTAGGCTTAGGCTTAGGCTTAGGCTTAGGCTTAGGCTTAGGCTTAGGCTTAGGCTTAGGCTTAGGCTTAGGCTTAGGCTTAGGCTTAGGCTTAGGCTTAGGCTTAGGCTTAGGCTTAGGCTTAGGCTTAGGCTTAGGCTTAGGCTTAGGCTTAGGCTTAGGCTTAGGCTTAGGCTTAGGCTTAGGCTTAGGCTTAGGCTTAGGCTTAGGCTTAGGCTTAGGCTTAGGCTTAGGCTTAGGCTTAGGCTTAGGCTTAGGCTTAGGCTTAGGCTTAGGCTTAGGCTTAGGCTTAGGCTTAGGCTTAGGCTTAGGCTTAGGCTTAGGCTTAGGCTTAGGCTTAGGCTTAGGCTTAGGCTTAGGCTTAGGCTTAGGCTTAGGCTTAGGCTTAGGCTTAGGCTTAGGCTTAGGCTTAGGCTTAGGCTTAGGCTTGAGGCTTAGGCTTAGGCTTAGGCTTAGGCTTAGGCTTAGGCTTAGGCTTAGGCTTAGGCTTAGGCTTAGGCTTAGGCTTAGGCTTAGGCTTAGGCTTAGGCTTAGGCTTAGGCTTAGGCTTAGGCTTAGGCTTAGGCTTAGGCTTAGGCTTAGGCTTAGGCTTAGGCTTAGGCTTAGGCTTAGGCTTAGGCTTAGGCTTAGGCTTAGGCTTAGGCTTAGGCTTAGGCTTAGGCTTAGGCTTAGGCTTAGGCTTAGGCTTAGGCTTAGGCTTAGGCTTAGGCTTAGGCTTAGGCTTAGGCTTAGGCTTAGGCTTAGGCTTAGGCTTAGGCTTAGGCTTAGGCTTAGGCTTAGGGCTTAGGCTTAGGCTTAGGCTTAGGCTTAGGCTTAGGCTTAGGCTTAGGCTTGAGGCTTAGGCTTAGGCTTAGGCTTAGGCTTAGGCTTAGGCTTAGGCTTAGGCTTAGGCTTAGGCTTAGGCTTAGGCTTAGGCTTAGGCTTAGGCTTAGGCTTAGGCTTAGGCTTAGGCTTGAGGCTTAGGCTTAGGCTTAGGCTTAGGCTTAGGCTTAGGCTTAGGCTTAGGCTTAGGCTTAGGCTTAGGCTTAGGCTTGAGGCTTAGGCTTAGGCTTAGGCTTAGGCTTAGGCTTAGGCTTAGGCTTAGGCTTAGGCTTAGGCTTAGGCTTAGGCTTAGGCTTAGGCTTAGGCTTAGGCTTAGGCTTAGGCTTAGGCTTAGGCTTAGGCTTAGGCTTAGGCTTAGGCTTAGGCTTAGGCTTAGGCTTAGGCTTAGGCTTAGGCTTAGGCTTAGGCTTAGGCTTAGGCTTAGGCTTAGGCTTAGGCTTAGGCTTAGGCTTAGGCTTAGGCTTAGGCTTAGGCTTAGGCTTAGGCTTAGGCTTAGGCTTAGGCTTAGGCTTAGGCTTAGGCTTAGGCTTAGGCTTAGGCTTAGGCTTAGGCTTAGGCTTAGGCTTAGGCTTAGGCTTAGGCTTAGGCTTAGGCTTAGGCTTAGGCTTAGGCTTAGGCTTAGGCTTAGGCTTAGGCTTAGGCTTGGGCTTAGGCTTAGGCTTAGGCTTAGGCTTAGGCTTAGGCTTAGGCTTAGGCTTAGGCTTAGGCTTAGGCTTAGGCTTAGGCTTAGGCTTAGGCTTAGGCTTAGGCTTAGGCTTAGGCTTAGGCTTAGGCTTAGGCTTAGGCTTAGGCTTAGGCTTAGGCTTAGGCTTAGGCTTAGGCTTAGGCTTAGGCTTAGGCTTAGGCTTAGGCTTAGGCTTAGGCTTAGGCTTAGGCTTAGGCTTGAGGCTTAGGCTTAGGCTTAGGCTTAGGCTTAGGCTTAGGCTTAGGCTTAGGCTTAGGCTTAGGCTTAGGCTTAGGCTTAGGCTTAGGCTTAGGCTTAGGCTTAGGCTTAGGCTTAGGCTTAGGCTTAGGCTTAGGCTTGAGGCTTAGGCTTAGGCTTAGGCTTAGGCTTAGGCTTAGGCTTAGGCTTAGGCTTAGGCTTAGGCTTAGGCTTAGGCTTAGGCTTAGGCTTAGGCTTAGGCTTAGGCTTAGGCTTAGGCTTAGGCTTAGGCTTAGGCTTAGGCTTAGG